ACAACGGCGTGCAATTTTTCATCTCTCTCGGGCCAGCTGGCCCCGCCCCCGCCGCTTTAGCGAGCCTTCTTTTCGACCCCCGGAGCCACAAATCATTGGAAAAACACAGTGTTTCGCGACTTTCCTACCTTTTCGCGCATCTGCATCTTCTTTCTTCTGACTCTTTCTCTTCTACTCTTCTCTCTTCTAATCTTTCTCTTCTCTCTGCATCTTCCCTGCTCTGCTTTTCATCTGTCCATATTGTCGGAAATTTGACTTCTAAACTTCCTTCGATGACTGCACTTTGTTCAGTTTTGTTTAAATGGAAGTTATATGAATGTTGTACCATTTTGGCTCAAGGTGACATTCCTCATTGCATAGTGTTGCGGCTTTCAAACATCTTTTTACCCAACTTCCCACACCATTATATTTTCAATTCTGTAGTCTGTGGCATTTCCCCGCATCACGCTCCCTGTTGGAAGATAGGGAATTGGCATGTCATGTCGTTTGCGGGATCCATCCTACCATTCCGAAATCTTTGGGTCTGGTCATATCTCATCATTTGTGTTGTACTTATTGGTCTTTTTCAGTCGGCCTCCACGTATCCAGCTTGGCGAGTCTTCGAACATCTGTCTGTGTCTGCTTCCGAGCATCCAGCCCCGTGTGCATCCGAGCATTCGGCCTGACTTGCAGCCGTGCATCCGCATCACTGGTTTTAGCATCTCCTTACGCGTAGCATTCATTCCGATACATCAGCCTGATGTGTCCAATCTGCAGATTCCATTAGATCCTTTTTTCACTCCCATCCAGGTGTCGCACCCTGGGGGATTGCACGCCGTTGCATTCAGATTCCACGGTTCTTTCACGTTTTGTGGTTCATATTTCTGTCGGATCCATCTTGTGGTTGCTTCTTTTGTTTTGTGGTGGAATCGTTGCATCCCCAACTATCCCCTGATGGGGGGGGTTTAATATTCCATTGATCAAATTGGGAACCAATTTGTTCAGATCAACAGTTCGACATCAATTATCCAGCAATGCAAAAAGGAAATTAATATAAAGCGCGCTTGGAAATGGTGTGGGGTTTTAAGTTTGACAATAAACTTGGATTTTAGTTGATATCTTTTGTAGATTGTAATATCTACTTGTATGTGATATTGGCCCTATGTAATGAATGTCCACCTTGAACATTGAAGTTATATGAAATGGTATATTAAAATTGTATGAAACGGTTAAAAAAAACAATATCTATATATATAGACACATACAATGTATGCTAAATATAGATTATGGAATATTCAATGGTATATTGAAAGGTGTATGAGATGGTATATTGAAGGTAAATGACATGGTAAATTGCATGTACAGGCATTGAGAACGGTATTTCCAAAACATGTTAAAGGTATGTTGAAGGTATATTACAGGTGTATTCAGGATGTAGTCATGTTATGTTAAATAAATTGGTAAAGCAAAGGTACATGAACTGGTGCATAAACGGCGGTATATTAAACGGTTTACTACAAGCATTTATAGGTAAATTAAGGGTACAAACTAATGTTATTTGAAATGGTATGCTAAAGCCCTATCAAATTGTATGTTAAAGGTATGTATTCAAACATATGTTCAGGGCCAATAAACGGTGTACTAAAGGTATATTGAAGTAAAGGGTGTATTAAAAGTGTAATACAAGTATTGAATGGTATTGCAAACGAACAAAAACCAACATATGAATTCTCTCATGTGAAGCATGATGAATTTTTATTTGGGGATCTAAGACCAAACAAAACGAAACTGAGCGCGTTTGGACAGTGCATGAACACGTCAAATATTTGTGGTCGTTGCAACATTTCGGATTGTAGCCTCAAGTGAGGCACGCGGCAAGTGCCGTGAAATGAAGTATGTATATATGTATATATGTATATATGTATATATGTATATATGTATATGTGTATACATGTATATATGTAAATATGTAAATATGTATATGTAAATTTGATTATATGATTCAATGTAAATGTGTATATGTATATATGTATATATATATGTAAATCTGATTATATGATTATATGTAAATGTGTATATGTATAAATGTATGTATATACATATATACATGTATGTATATTTATATATATACATGTATATATGTATATATGTATATATGTACATATGTACATATGTATATATGTATATATGTATATATGTATATATGTATATATGTATATATGTATATATGTATATATGTATATGTGTATATATGTAAATATGTATATATGTATATATGTACATATGTAAATATGTATATATGTATATATATATATATATTTGTAAATATCTATGTATAGATATATATATATATATATGTATTTGTAAAAAATATATATCATGTATATGATATATGTGTCTTTGTGTCATCCCCATGGAACCCAACCATGTATTGCTGCCAAAACAGAGTAGAATAGCAATGGTCCCAAAACCATGCACAACTTTCAAAATTTATTATTTCAAATATATTTGCGAAAGTGTTGTTAAACCACTGCAAATACCAGTAAAAACAGAAAAATGGTAGACTTTTTTTTGGGAGGGGTACCATATTATATATATATAAATAGAAGGTTCTGCCGCTGCAGTTGCGCTCATGATGACCCTCACTTGTTACCGTTCCAGAGCTACCGTTGTTTGTATCTCGTACATTGACTTCTACACTCCCCACTGTTTGGGGTGTTTTGCTGGTGTAATTTTTCCTTTTCGTTCCATGTTTCGTTTGGTCAATTTGGGGTGGGATTGGTTGGGGAGTGGGTTGGGGCAAGAACGTCCTTGCACTGGCGCACCTTATTTGATACTACGTTAAAAAAAAATAAGCTGGTACTTCCACACAATAATTTCTTTTGCACTTGCACATCAACATCATGATTCATGATGCCTTATACTTTTCTTGCTACGGTTTGAGGTTGGGCCGGGGTTGGTTGGGAGATGTGTTGGGCCAATACCGTCGTCGCACTTGCACAGCCATGCGATGCTTCGTCACGTCTCAAAAATTCTCTTACATTTCGGTTGCGTTAAACACTTTACTTCATGCTGCGTCACGAGAACTTCTTTTGCACTACCACCTCAATTTGAAGCTGCGCTTTTATAAGGACAGGCAAACCAAGCAAACCTCCATTTTTTCCCATTGTTTTTGGAAATGTCTTCCATATTTTTGGGTTTAGTGCCAGTGCAATTTCCATGTTTCCTTTGTGAAACAAAATTTGACAATGTTGGTGTTTGACGCGTGTATTACACCGGCACAAGGCACATCTGTGTGAATCATTGCCGCTTGTGGGGCATCTGTGTGACCGCTCTTGCATGATGCTCTTGTGTGAATATCTTTGAAAACAAATTATTTAGACAATTTTTGGAAACGGTTTTTAACAACAGTCGCGTGAAACATCACTTTTGGACATTGTACATCGTCGTACATGAACTTTTATGCGGCCTCCTTGAACACAGTCGTGGATGACAGGCTTGGAAAACGGTTTCGTGACATCTTTGAAAAACCATCGTGGTAAACATTTTGGGGGACTGCGCTATGCAGTGCGAAAGTCGACATGCCGTCAAACACCGCAATGGTGGAGGTTGACATTCAATTGCACCTCAAAGGTTATAGGTGAGACGTTCTGAATGGACAAACCTGGAAACCTCGGATGGATGGTGTTTCCTTGCCATGTGGAACATTTGATGTGATGTAAAACTCTGACGTGAAATGATTTGGCGCAAAGAGGCTGACGGTCAGAGAATCCCGAACAACATGAATGCATTTATGTAAATACCTATATATTTATTATAATATGATATAATGAAATATAATATAATATAATATAATATAGTATAATACAATATGATATGATATGATATGATATGATAAGATATGATAAGATATGATATGATATGATATGATATGATGTAATATAAATATAATATAATATAATATAATATAATATAATATAATATAACATAATATAACATAACATAATATGATATAATATGATATAATATGATATAATATGATATAATATGATATAATATGATATAATATGATATAATATGATATAATATGATATAATATGATATAATATGATATAATATGATATAATATGATATAATATGACATAATATGACATAATATGACATAATATGATATAATATGATATAATATGATATAATATGATATAATATGATATAATATGATATAATATGATATAACATGATATAACATGATATAACATGATATAACATGATATAACATGATATAACATGATATAATATATAATATATAACATATAACATATAATATATAACATATAATATATAATATATAATATATAATATATAACATATAATATATAATGTATAATATATAATATATAATATATAATATATAATATATAATATATAATATATAATAATATATAATATATAATATATAATATATAATATATAATAATATATATAATATAATATATAATATATAATATATAATATATAATATACGATATATAATATATAATATATAATATACAATATATAATATATAATATATAATGTATAATATATCATATATAATATATAACAAAAAATATACAATTTGCAATATGTAATATGTAATATATAATACAATGTATAATATACAATAAGTAGTATATAATATGAAATACATGATATAATGTGTAATATGTAATATGTAATATATACTATATTCTACATATACTATATATTATATACTATATACTATATACTATATGATATATAATATATAATCTATAATCTATAACGTATAATGTATATTCTGTAAAAAATGTATGTAATATGTTATATATAATATATAATATAATATGCATATGGTTTCAAACTGAACGCTACCTGGTCTGCAAACTAAGTTTTTGTGCTAATCTTTCAACCATTGGTAAAAGTGAATGATCAAGTGGCCAAAATAAGTATTCAAATGAATGGAGATTGGCAACCACCAACATTGTTTGGCGCCACGGCTCAAGAGTTTTGCATGAAAAGATGTGATAGTGACCCAAATCCGTCCAATGAATACTTTGTTTTGCAACAAAGGTGACACAAGACGTGACAAGGACGGCTTCATGAATGTTTTGACAGGTGATTGGTTCTGTTGCGGTAGCGATTTGCAACGATGTGCAAAGGTTGCTCGTATTGATTCAAGGGCTGGACCACCTGCACCATCTGAGAGGCCTTTGATTCCACGACCAAGGAAAGCTCCAAGATCTCCGAGGTCTCCATGTGGACCCCAAGAGTCTCCACGAAAGTCCGCCGGGCGTCGGTTCGTAACTCAAGGCATTTGGATGCGGGATTCTGCAGTTGAACCCGAGGATTCCAGCTTGCCGTTGATGGAAAGGCCATCGCCCAATTGGAACCAGAAATTTGTCGAAGAAGCGGCTGGTTTGGCTAAGCCAATGGCAGCTTGCCATGAGAGCGAATCACCTCCTTGCATCGATTGGGCAGGTACTTTTCCACCCCTACCATCAGTTCAAACTGAAGAAACCCAAGAAACCCAACATCTAAGGGTTGAATCCTTGCATTTGATCAGTGACACTTTTGTGGTGGAACCTGATGAGTCCCCCGAGGTTTCTGAAAATGAGTTGAAAATTTCTCAAGTGCTTCAGGGGAGGACCCTCGTCCTTATGGCCAGCGATGTTTCGGGTGTCAAGAAAAACCGGCCCCAGGAGGATTCTCTTGCCAGAATTCAAACTTGGTTCCAAAATTGTGGCCTTGAGAATACTCTTGTTGCAGCGGACATCAGACAATTTGGAGAATCTGCAATGTCTTTTGCTGAGTGCTGTCAGCCTGGTGATACCTGCGCACTCATTTTAAGTGGGATGTCAGCCTTTGAAATTCCGGAGGAAGAGCGAATTGAAGTTTCTGGAATGACTGGCGGGGCAATTTTGTCCGATTTCTGGCAATGTTTGCCAAGAGGCATTACTGTGGTCATCATGGCTGACTCTGACAATATATTTACTGGAATGGAATTTGAAGATATAGTCGAGAGCAAAAATTTGAAACTGATGGTCTTCGCTTTGTCTTTTGATGAGAAGGTTTCACACACTTCCCGCTCATTTTTATGCAACATGGCCATGCTGCAAGCTGCTGATGCTTTGAGTCTGGCGGATGGACCATGCAAACTGACTTGTCTGGATTTTTTTCAAGAAATGCTGGAACAGGCCGAAGATTTGGCGGAAGACTGGGGGCTTCCAAAACCCAAACCTTTTCTGAAGAGTTTGCCTGAAAATTCCTTAGCAAATACTCGATGGCCATTGTCTCGGGCACCTCGGGAATTGGCCCGGGAGATTGGCGCGAACAACACTGCGGCCACTCAAACCTGGATCCGCACAGGAGCAATGCCCAGACCCGAAGTGCAATGCCAGCAATGCCCAGAGATCCATCGACCTCGGCCCAGAAGTGAAAGTCCACCAAGAGAGCGAGCTGCAGCGGAACAACTTGCTGCTGTAGGTGCCAGCATTGCATCGGCTGCCCTGGCTGCCACAGCTGCGGCTGTGGTCGAAGCTGGCTCTGCCACTGTTGCAGCGTTGGTGGATGTGCAGCATTCAAGGAGCTTGGGGAGCTTGGGTGGACAGCTTTCAAGAGGCCCAGGAGGAAATCAAATTAGCAAATCACTGTCTGCTCGTGAAGCGCACGACAGACGGTGGATAGCCGATGTACCTGGGATGAGTATGAATCCGCACGAAGAGAGAGAACGAGAACATGGTGCTTCGGTAGATAAGCACAGAAGGAAAAGTAAAACAGTGGATGCTTCTGCTAAAGAGCACCAATCCAATCGAAATACTAGCCGCGGCGTCCGATCCATGCGATCCATGCCGCAGAACTTTGGAAGCCTTGAACTGATGCTCTCTGGAGGGGGAGCTTTGAAAAAACCAGGGAAATTCAAAGCAAAACCCAAAACTTCCGCCACTTCCCCGCCATGAAGTGCCAATTCTTGCATCTTAAGGCATGATAAGGCTTCATTCTGCCGAGTCAGCTTATATCCTTCCTCAAGTCATGAAATTCATTTTCTTTCCGTTGCAGTTTGCAAAGACAGCTGTGCAAAGACGTTGGAACAATTTCAGAGTGCATGCACCTTCAGGATTCTGCACCGGCTCTGTATGTGCGCTCAAGGTGGGACGTTCTGAGAAAAAGGATCCAGCTCACACGCAACAGCAGGGCCATGTAGTATTGCAGGGTCGAGAATTGATACATGTATTTATCATATATACAGTATATATATATATATATGTAATATACATGAATACATGGGTTTTTGTATAAATACATGTACGTAGTATACAGCATACATGTTGACTGGAGTAGAAACTTCGTCTCAGTGTACTGCTTCTGAAGTGCAATGCGACTGACTTTGTAAATTGCAGGTCTAACCTTTTGGGGCTGTTCTCATGTTGCTGGCTCAAGTTGTGATTTCTCAGTGTAAATTGATCACATGGGAATCGCAGGACGGCTTGAAAGTGGGAGTCCACATCACAACATTTTTACGAGAGGTGTATGACAGATGTGTCATCAAGCAGAGTCTTCTGGCGAGTGCCAGTTGAGCTCATCAGCAGATGCCCAATGCCAAAACACAGTGTTTGGATTTTTGTTAAATCACATGAGTGGAATCTGGGTTTTCATGGCAACTCAGAACCTGCATCGTAGCATTGAGTCCTACGACCATGCTTGCCACTTACACTTGACCATTCCTGAGATTTGTTTCATTTTACAATTTTCTATGAACATATAGTTGCGAGCTTCGATCGTTCAGTGACATGGGCAAATGCCTCAGGAAATCTGTGGTGTGTGTGACGTTTGACAAACCCAAGTGACCAAGTGACTGTTTGGCTTTCAGAGAGACATTTTGTATGAGGAATACCTCGCCCTGTACTGACTTTGTTGCTCGCACCTTCCTTACTTGATACATCCACACATCAATGTTATCTGGATTTCTTGCAGTGTCGAAAGACAATGCCTGCAGTGTAGCTTTGTAATGTCTGCATACAAAAACACCTTGACTTCATTCTGTTTATAATCAAGTATAGACGAGATCAGTACAGGTCAAGAGGCGTGAAAGGGTCCAGAGAGCTGTGGGAGAGCTGTAGGGTTTCTGTCACACGCTGCAAGGTGCTAGCTTTGCAGCCTGCGGATGCATTTGTCCTTGCAATCGACCTTGGCTCCCAGTCAAGCTCCCAGTTTGCTAAATGTGGAAAGTTTCAGCTCTGGGATGTGATACGCGACAGGATACAGGGCATTTATGATAATTGCTTTTCGATTTACAGGCTTCTACTTCCCTTGTGAAACTGCTCGGATTTGCTGGGTATGATATGGTATGATATGGTATGATATGGTATGATACTTGTCAGTTTTGTCTGATTCTGCCCCAGGTTCTTTAAGGCTGCAATAGTCGCTCCAGGCACCACGGGAATACTCTGAAGGAATCGCTCCGATGTCACCAGGATGTCATCAGGATGATTTGGGTGTTGTTTGACGTTGTTCGATGTTGTTCGTTCTTGTTCCGGTGTATCAGATGACAACAGATGGATTTTGTGTTCCATGGCTCCCCTCAGTCAAGCCAGGCAGACCGTTTGAGGTGGTGCACAACACGCACTCAAAGCGCAAGACACCCACAGCGGTGACACTCGCTTGTGTTGGCCGCGGCAAACGTGTTGATGAAACGTGGGGGACTAGTCGGGGACTAGCATTTTTGGATATTTTTGGTCATTTACATTCATTTACAAGGTCTGAAAATTCTGAAATGCATGACACTGCTCTTGTTTGCCACGTCAGAAATAGCAGGCTGCCCAAAAGTCCAGGTTTGCATTGAAACAAGACTGCAAGAGTATGTTGTAGTGCTGAATGTTTCTTTCACATCCAAGGTGTAAGGTTTTGTAGGATCTTTGTAGGCACCTTCATTTTCTTCCACGACTTATATACTTTGTGATCTGTCACCCACAAGATGTTGCAGTTTGCGAAGCGAATCGCGTTGAGATTATTGCAACGCAGTTTGTATTGGCAAATAGGTTCAGTCCGTTCAATTTCTAGCAAGCACTTTTGGTCTGGTATTTTGGTTCCAGTTGTTTTGTCAAAGGCCACAAAAGCTATAGTCCTTACATATTCCATTCGAACCAACAAGTTCAAATTCAAGGTAGCGGGTCCTGTAGTGTCGTCTACTTGTTTTCGCTTTTGATTCTCAATCCAGCCTCTGCCCTCACGACAACGCGAGCAAACTCAGAATCTTCCCGGAAAGGCATGAAAAGTGTCGGAACCTGTGCGCAAGCTTTCAACCTACGCTTTCATCATGTTGCGCCCCATATTTTAACGGGATGATTGCATGCATGTGAAATGAGACACAGCTTAAAGTTTTGTGTGCAAGGTTGCACGGCACTTGTTTGACTAAAGAAGACGATTCGATGCTATTTACTGTATATTATATATATGTGTAGTGGGAAACATATATTCCTTGAAAGTCATCTTGTAATCAGCTGACAGCAGCGATTTTCACTACACAACTTACAGGGTGATGTATTGGCCTGGATGGGTACAATGACCCAGGGTGAGAATGCAGTGAATGCAGGTTCCAGAATGCATGTCAGACAGCAGCGTTTGCCTCTTCAATACCTGCAAGACCTGCAGCGAAACAAACTGACACAGAGAGAAATGGTGGCCACAACCTGCAATTTGTTCGTCAAAACTTGTCCAAACAAACCCTATCCAAGAGATGGTACTTTCTCTCTCTCTATATAGTTATATATATATACGTACATTAATGTGTTTATATATATATAGACACCTCTATGGTGCATCTGTATATAGAGGTACTGTAAACGGAAAGCGCCAGACACTTTGAAGAGATGAACATCTAAATCAGTTGCAAGAGAGTAAAAGTCCGTATCTCTGTCGTGTTTTTTGATGGTAGCTTGCCAAAGTCTTTTCTTGGGCATTATCTGTGGAAGGCCGCACAAGCAAGGGTGAAATCTGCAGAAGTATCGCAGAAGCTACCTGCGTCGCGAAAGCGAGGGTGTGATTTGCGGAAGCTCCGCAGAAGGCTTCACAGAAGGAATCATTTCCAATTCAGCTAAGGGAAAAAGTGAAGCTCTGTTAACTTTTCCAGAAGAAAGAGAGAGAGAGCCGTGAGTAGCTGGATCATTTTCTTCTTGTGGCCAGGTCTCCTTTCAAGAAGTGGTTCGGACTTTTGGAGACGATGCCGTGAGTAGCGCAGCGAAAGGAGTTGGGAAGACTCCAATGGTCGGGATCTTCAGACATTTTTGACATTTTGTGCGTTTGTGGAAAATGTATTTTACAATTAAACTAGTGGAGAATCACGCTCTCAGTGCCATCTCTGTATTCTATGGGATGCAGAGTCTTTTGCCGAGTTCTTTACGCTGGCCCTCGGCAAAAACTTCTCTGGCATTTCAGAGGCAGTGTACTCAAGTGATTTTTTTGCATTATTTTGTTGCACTTTTCAGTTCAGCTGTGAATTTGGGTTGGTCAGTTTGTGATGACATGTGCTGACAGGAGAAGCTGAGCTTGTTGTCACCCAGGCCCTTTGTGGGTGCTGCGACAGCTTGCCTTTGATGCACATCAACACAACCTTGCCCTGTGACATTAGACTCTTGAGCCAGGTATTTTCCATACGATCTGGGTCTTCATGATTCTGGTAGCTTACTCTTTCGAACAGGTTCGAAGCACAACTGATCTTGGAGAGCGAAGCCTTTGAAATCTATGTTGAACGGGCAAGTTGAATTCTATGAGTCAGGTCAAACCGACTATACTGTTCAGGAGGTGCCAGAACTGCTCGGCAACAGAGCTATCAATCACAAGAAGCAACTCGATGGTTTTTAGTGGTGGCCCCTCCTGGCTAGGTGACCGCGCACCTCCTCAATTTTGCTCAGGACCCAAATTCCGGTGAATAAGGTATTTAAGGTCAAAAGGATCCGTTGAAGCCATTGTTCACCAAATGGTGTTGCAAATTCGCTGAGAAGCACCATGAGATTGTAGACAAGTGAAATTTACTGTATTACCGTTCTGTCATGTCAGGTGCGAAGGATGACACGCACAAATCATAGCACAGATGTTCACCTGTATTACCGCAGGCATTTTTGGTTGGAAAACAGGCGCGACGTTCTCAAGGGTTATGAGCCCAACGAGCTACTACTGGGCATTTTAGCCATGGAAGCTGGAAGGTCCCAATCAATGCCTGTTGGGGATAGAAACATGGAGGTGGTTAACCCATTTCATTCCGAAAAAGTTCAAGCTGAATGTTTGCTGGAGGCCTCAAGGCCTAGGAGCTTACCAGTGTTGGATGGTGGAATGGGACCTCAAGGTGTAGCGGTTTCTGAAAAAAGGGATCAGTCTGATGCAAGTGCACTGCCAACTGGGAAAGGGCGAGGTGGCTTTTCGGCGAATGAAGTGCCGGATGCAGCTGGCCCCACAGTGAATGAGAAGCAGAATGCCCTGAGGACTGAAGGACGGATGCAGGGGTGTGATGATCCTGTGTTGTCACAAGGCCAAGTCAAATCTGCTGGAAGTAGTGGTATGGACGAAAGCAGTGATGGCTTACAGCGAGCCCTAGAAGGCGAGCTTGTGGAGTTTTTGAGAAGTCAAAATTCTAAACTCATGCAAGAGTTGGAATGTCTCAAAGGGCAACTGCAGCATGTGCAAGTGAAAGCCGGTTCTGGGGATGCTTCGTCACCATGGTCTGCTGTGAATGGAACTTCAGTAGAGGGTTCAAGTGGCAATGGAACCTTTCATGCCGAGCGTCATGGTAGGGGTGGAAGTAGAACTCCTAGGCATAGAACACGTGAACGTGCAGTTAGTCCTGAGGCTTGTGAAAAAGGAGATTCAAATCGGTTCACACCAAATGGGACCAGAGTGCCAAAAGGTCCACCGCCAGTGGATGAGCCGATGGTGCCACCAATCCCTCCGTTTCCAACTGCAGCAGGTGAGCCGCTTGTGGAGGGGACCAGTTTTGTCAGCAATTTGTATGATACATGTGAGTCAAAACCGCATGTGAGAAATGGTGACAAGTTATGGAAACCTCAGAGTGGTCAAAACACTGGGGATGTGATGACAGCTAGCGAAGCAAAACAGACATGGCTGGAAAGGGAGGTTCAGTCCCTCAAAACTGCTTTGAATCGTGTTTCGGTTCCTGATGCAATTCGACAGTCTGGATACTGGAATGGTAGTTTTGCGGAAAAAATGGAATGTCATGTTCCTGATGTGTCACATGCAGCAGCTGCCAATCGTCCGCTTTGTGGTGATCGAGCCCTATCTGGTGGAAGTGGTGATGTATCTCAACAAGATCGGGCTTGGCATGGTGGACGTGATGAAGTAGCAGCTCACGATCGGGCACAGCAGCTGTTTGGAGATCTACCTGGACTCGGTCGGGCTCCGCAATTGCATGGTGATCTACATCAACGTGATCGGGCATTGCATGCTGATCTTCCTCAACGCGATCGGGCTTTGCATGCTGAACTTCCTCTACGTGATCGGGCTTGGCATGGTGATCTACCTCCTCATGATCGGGCTTTGCATGGCGAACTACATCCTGGTCGAGCTCTACATGGTGATGATGCAGTGCTTCATGGTCGTCGAGATCTACTTCATGAAGGTGGTCCTCATGGTGGAGTTCAACATGGTGGAGTTCAAGGGCATGGATCTATGGGTGTTGCACCAATGCCAACGTCTTGGGAAGCTTCTGGAGGAGGTGGCGGCGGAAAAGCTGAACTACCTGTGTTGCCGAATGGTGCATCGCCTCTGGAGTTTGGAGATTGGCTTTGTCTTTGTGGGCCAATCATGAAAGACCTGTCACATGTCGCTGGAAGATGGTGGGATGCAACAGTACGCCAAGCGTATGCCTTCTACATGGAATGGAAGGGACTATCTCCTCTTCAGCGAGTTCAACTTTGTCCTCGTCTTCCTGATGAACTGATGGCAAGCGGCTTCATCAGAACGGAGCAGAGGGGCGTCACTTTGTTGCTCAAGGCGGTGAGCGAAGAGCAGCAGAAGGAGTTGGTGGTGGATCGAGATTTGACCAGTACGGCAATTTTGTTCCGCCTCTATGTGCGGCATCAACCAGGGGGACCAGGTGAAAAGGCAATCCTCTTGGGGCAATTGACCTCACTGCAAAAGGCATCTACGATGCAGGAATTGGCTTCGTCTCTGAGAACATGGCGGCGATACTTTGCAAGGGCTAGGGAGGTGGATGCAAGTTTGCCTGATGGAGTGCTGTTGATCAAGGCACTTGAAGCTGCGGTTGTCCAGATCGCCAAGGAAGACTCCCAAGCAGCGTTCAGGCTTTCCACAAGCCGACAACAACTTGCACTGGATCAACGTCCTACGGAGCAGTCAATTTGGAGCTTCAGTCAGTGTTTGTTGGCTGAAGCAGAAACTTTGAGCTTGCTGAAGTCCTCTTCTACGACGTCTACAAGTGCGAGCACACCGGTGAGGCTCAAACAAATGGATGCGGAAGCATCAAACTCACCTCAAAAACCAGGCACTCCTGGCAACTATGGCAACAAGTCCGGCAAGGGACACTCAACTCCTATGTCGGAGCAACCATGCAAGTTCTTCAAGAGCGACACTGGATGCAAAGCCGGACGAAGCTGCAAATGGTCTCACTCTTGGGAGGGCATCGAGGACAAGAACAGTCGATGCTGGATCTGTGGCGGCAAAGATCACAGAAAAACTGAATGCAAAGTCAAGGGCAATGGCAACAACTACAAACCTTCGTTCAATGACTCTGGTTTGGGGGGAGGACGTGGTGGTGGAAATCAAAATGCAGCCAACAACAAAGCGGCTGTCAAGCAAGCTTCAGTTGGAAAAGGTCATGATGGTGGAGTTGCAAGCTCAACAACTGATCAAACCTCTTCTAGTACGTGCGCTGATGGTCCAGGACTGGGTGCTGAGAGTAACTCCCTTGGGACTTCATCTAGTGCAACCTCGGAGGTGGATAAGGGGGGAGCTCCAGCTGCCACTCCTGCGACCACTGAACTGTTGGCAGAAGCCACACAGTTGCTGAAGTCTTTGCGTATGCCCAACCTGAAGGTGATGCGGCTGTCAAAGTTGGAGTCTCATGCTCAAATGGTGTTGTTGGACTCTGGCGCAACACATGGCCTACGTCCTGCAGCTTCAGAAGAAGAATGGCAGTCGGGCACAAGAACTCAGGTGATGTTGGCTGATGGTGTCACAGAAAGCCTCCGTTTGAAGCCTGGCACCAAAGTTTTGCTTTCAGATCCTCTCCTTCGGCCTGAAAATACCTCTTGGATTGTTCCAATGGGATGCTTGAACGAGCTCAACTACAAGTTGGTGTGGAAGGACCACATGTGCCATCTCTACACAAAAGCTGGAGAAAAGATCGATGTGGAACTTCACAATGGATGTCCCTACGTTGCTCATGAATTTGGAGCGAAACTGCTGACGGTTTTGGAACAGCATCAAATTCAACAAGAGCTGAAAAAGATGACCTTGAAGTCAATCTTGACAAGAGGGGCTGCCGGTCTTGGCGACAAAATGAGCATTGAAATGGCGATGCTTGTCAAGCTCAAGGAGGTCATGCCGACTTTGCCTGAAGATTTGGCGTTGAAGCTGGTTCCAGATCTCTCAGTGCTCACGGACCCCAACATCGGCTTGAACCTTCCATGGAATCGCAGAAAGCGAAAAAGACTCATGATGGCAAGGAATGTGATCATCCACATGTACAGTGGACCTGATGCTTCTTACTGGGAGCGGCGTTTGTCAAATGAGCACACTGAGGTGCTGTGCGTGGACTTGGAAGCCTCAACACCTTCAAATGCTTTGGATGAAACAACCTTTGCGTTTTTGCTTTCCTTGTGCGCCAGCAAACGTGTCAAAGCTCTACTTGGAGGCCCTCCATGCAGAACAACAAGTGCTCTCAGGTTTCAAAAAGATGATGGTCCACCAATTCTTCGAACAGAAGATCACCCATACGGTTTGCCATCATTGACTCCACAACAAGCTGAATTGGTCACCAATGACTCAATTCTGTGGCTCCGTTTGATGCTGATGTACATCCTCTGCGAAGAAGTGCGTCCAAAAGAACAAGCTCAAACTGCATTTCTTTGTGAACAACCTCAAGACCCAGCGGAATACCGCAAGAAGGAGGATGTGGATGAGCACCAGTACTTTTCAATGTGGAGAACTCAGGAATGGAAAAGCTTCCAAGAAGCCTACAACGCCAAGCTGATCTCCTTTGATCAAGGGCCTTTTGGACACCCAAAACGAAAGCCAACCACCTTGGCCTTGATCAACATGAATGAGATGATGCAGCTACAAGATGTGCGAGGTCGTGGAGCTGAACCTGAAGTTGCTCCGCTACCAGAACTCAGCGTGAAAGAAAGATGTGCTATGTCGAAAACTTGGGCGGCTTGGGCACCTGGTTTGAAGGCTGCAGTTGCTGAAGCAATCAGCAGATGGATTCGCCGTGAAGCGCCTCCACGTGAAGGACCTGAAGATCCTGTTGGCGTTGTTTACGCCGATGATGATGTCCGACCTGCTGGTGTCGCTGCAATTGGAAATGTTGCCCTTCAACAATGGAAGCAACACTACATGCAGGACCACATGCCCGCCCGTCGAGATTGCAGCCACTGTGTACGTTCTCAAGGTCGCAGTCGAGCACATCGCCGAGTTTGTCATCCGGAAAGCTTCACTTTGAGCTTGGACATGTCTGGTCGGATGACTGGTGGCAAGGACCAAACTCCTGGCAACAACAAGTACTTCTTGGTTGGAGTTTACACATACCCCGTCAACAAAAAGGGGAAACCACTCTTGTTGCGTCCTGACCAAGATGAAGAGGAAGATCACCCTTTGCCTGGCCTTGATGACCCTGAGCTCTCTGGTGATCCTCAAGAACAACAACCTGGAGATGGTCAACCACCTCAACAACATGTTGAACGAGATCAACAACAAGCGAGCTATGAAGCTCAACATGAACAAGGTCTTCCTGCTGGTGTTGCACAAGATGAACCTGATCCTCTCCAAGAAGAATCGGTTCCTGACCTTGTGGAGGATGAAGAGGTGAAGTCAGCCTATGGAATGCACGACACTTGGATGCGTCTCATCAATGAGTCCAAGGACGTCACTGTGCGCAACCTCACTTTTGCAGAGCCCATTGCAGATCGAAATGTGCACAACGTGCTGCCGGCGATCGCCAAGATCTATGCTCGTTTGCGCTCTTTGGGTTGCCCTGTGTACCGAATGCACAGTGACCGTGCACGTGAGTTTTTGGCAAAACCTGTCCATCAATGGTGTCTTGACCGTGGAATAGTTCAAACTATGACACCTGGCAGTGCTTTTAAAACAAACGGCAGAGCTGAAAATGAAGTTGGGATGATCAAAAAAGGTGTCCGCACTTTGATCTCTGCTGGAGCATGCCCTTTGGACAGATGGCCTCTTGCGGTGCGACATGTTGGAGAAAGACGTCTCCGCAATCAACTCAACCAAGCAGGCTGGCCAGTTGGAAAACTTTTGAGGTTTGGCTCAAAAGCCTATGCCCTCAAGAAAAGTTGGCAAGATCGCTACGCACAATGGCGTGATTGCCGAGAAGAAGTTGTGGTGTGGGGCCCTGCTGAAGGATCTTCTATAACCACAACAACATACTATGTCAAAGCAATTGCAACGGAAAGGTGCTTCTACACTGATGATGTGGTGATTCCTGCGGATGATGGCATGAATGCAGCTGTCGATGCTGGTCCCGGGGGAGAAGTTTTGCCATATCTCCCTGAACGTGATGAAAGACAAGCTCAACCGCTTTTTTGTGATGGTGTGCCAGCACGAAGATTGCGATCAAAGACAGCTCCGCCACCAGCAATTGCCACTATGTCAATGTTGCACATTGAGGGGGAGAAGCGCATCCTTGCAAAGTTTGGCAGTGTGTTTGAGTTTGCGCTGCCGCCTGACAATGAAGTTGCCTCTGAAGGTTCATGGACTTTGGAAACAACGCTTTCTCCATCACAACAACATCCACCTCAAGAACAACATGAGGTTCATGATGCTCCGCGACCAGGGCATGATGATGAAAAGGATGGTGATGGGGGGCAAACAGAAACTGATGAAGTTCATGATCAAAAGGAGGAGGAAAGTGATGTGGAGGAGGATTTGGGGGAGGCGCCTAACAGCAGAGATGGTGGCTCAAGCTCTGCGGCCTCAAATGTATCAAAAAATGTTCTGGTTAGAATGTCAAAGATACAAGCCCTCCAAACCATCCACGACAATGTCTCGGACTATATAGCCGAGGAGATCTGCAAGCTTGATGGCACCTTCCCTGAACAAATGTGGTGTCTCCCTGAGCTCAACAAAGCTCTGGTTAAAAAGGTTGAAGTTGAAGAACAAATTCAACTGCTTGCGGATGAAGATCGAGCTGAAGAACAACAACAGCTTACTCATGAGTTTTTGGTCACCAAAAAGGTCAGCAACAAAGAGGTTCGTGAAAACCTTGCCGATTGGACTGAATCCATCAAGGCCGAGTACGAGCAGCTTGTCGTCAACAAAAAGGCTGTCAAACCAATGACCAGAACGGAACTCCAAAAAATGGCTGAAGTGCAAAACAAAACTTTGGAGATCCTTCCAGCAAAAATGGTTCACACTAGAAAAGCTGGATCAGGAGCATACCGTTCAAGAGCAGTGGTGTGTGGAAACTACCAGACACCGAATGACGACAACACGTACGCTGGAGGTGCTGATGCAACACAGATCCGAACAATGCTAAGGATCAGTGCTCAGTACAAATGGAAAGCTGCTTCAACTGACATACGAACGGCGTTCCTCAATGCGCCGAGAAGAGACTCCAGACTCATAGCTATGGAAGTGCCGCATGTGTACAAAATGTTGGGCCTCGCTGGACCTGATGAAGTTTGGCTCATCATGCTTGCAATGTACGGACTCCAGGCTTCACCAAGGGACTGGTGCCTTCACCGTGATGCAGTTTTGCCAACGCTGAAGTGGACAAGGCAAGGTTCAAATGGGTTGCTGACTGGAAGTTTTGAGAAAACAAAAGATGAAAACGTTTGGCGCTTGGAAGAACTGGATGAATCAGGCTACATCCACTGGAATGGCCTCATGTCGGTGTATGTGGACGACATCTTGGTCACTGGTGAAGAGTTTGCAGTTCATGGCGCTCTACAAGCTCTCTCTGGAGTTTGGACAACCTCTTCTGTGGAATGGGCTGGTGTTGACAAGCCTCTCAAGTACTGCGGTTTTGAGATTTCTGAAGATGCCAAAGGCGATGGTTTTCATGTCAACCAGCACATGTACGAGCAGGAGATGTTGCAACGTTGGAATGTTGATGAAGGAGCTGAATATCCTCACTACAAAGTTGCTGAGGATCAAGAAGTCGAAGAAAGCCCTGACCCAAATGATGTCAGGACAGCTCAAGCTATGGCTGGTTCCTTGCTGTGGTTGAGTTCCCGAACACGACCTGACCTTGCTCATGGAGTTGCAACTATGAGCAGGCTCATGACAAAGGCTCCTGTCAAAGCCATCCAGATCGGCACAACGTTGATGAAATACGTCAAGGGAAACCCTGGCGTTGGTTTGAGGTACACAACACATGTTCCTGATGACTGGGGTGCCCATGGCCAGCTGAAGGTGAAAAGAAGTGACCTGCTCCTGGAGATCTTCTGCGATATTGCCTACTCAGCAGGTTCTGGCCATAGAAGCGTCCAAGGAATAGTTGTTTGCCTGGGTGGTCAGCCGATCTGTTGGCAAACGAGCCAACAGCCTTTTGTGACACACAGTACGGCTGAAGCTGAGTTGGTTAGCTACTGTGAAGGCCTGATCGCTGGCAAAGCAGCTGAAGCTCTGGTGATGGAGCTCACAGGTGTTACAGCTGTGATGAAAGTCATCTATGGTGACAACATTGCCGCGATTGGACTGGCCAATGGAACTACGTCCTCTTCATGGCGAACAAGACACTTGCGCATCAGAGCAAGCCTTTTGAAACAAGCCCTGGATGAAACTAATGCAGCTGGAGGCCAATGGAAGCTGATCCATGTGCGTGGCCTTGACTTAGTTGCTGATGGTTTTACAAAGCCTCTTTTTGGAGCTGCCTTTCAACGTTTTGTGGAAAACCTGGGCATGAATGCGCCGTTTTTGAGGCCCGAAGACCCTGAAATACGTGCTGCTCAAGTGCGAAGCCATGGCAGCAGAGAGCGTGTTCATGCTGGTGCAGCTTCTGCGATGAGTTTTTTGGTGGGGCAGACTCTTTTGTCCGAAGCCGAAGCTTTGGAAATCAAGGGAGAACAAGATGAAGCGGATCCACTTTGGATTGCTGCGGTGGTTTTGATGATCCTTGGGGCAATCTACGCTGGCAAGCTGGCAGTTCAAGCTGGTCAATGCTGCATGCGCCGATTGCAGGTGTGGTCGTCTTCGCCATCGATGCCTTCTGGTGAGATGCAAGTTTCATCAACAAGCTCCGCTACCAAAGATGATGGTGAAAGAAGATCTAAGTTGAGGTGGAGAACGAGCTCTTCAAGCAGCTTTGGCCCTGTGCAGGCCCCCTCAGCAGGATCTTCGAGCTCTGGCCCTGTGCAGGCCTCTTCAGCGGGATCGTCGAGCTATGGCCCTGTGCAGGCCTCTGTGACGATGTCTTTGCGGAGCGTTGGCCCTGTGCAGGCCCTTGGTGTGTCTGGCCCTGAGCAGGCCTCAAGTTCAACAACATCAGTACCCATAACTGCCGAGCGTGCTGGCCCTGAGCAGGCCCATTTTTCTGGATCTGGTGGTGGCCCTGTGCAGGCCTTGAGATCTTCGAATGCGGCTGCTGGAGCATCCTTGGGCAGTGCTGGCCTTGTGCAGGCCTTGCGAACTACGAATGCGGCTGCTGGTTCATCTTCAAGCGGTGCTGGCCCTGAGCAGGCCTTACGCGCTGGAGCTGGCCCTGTGCAGGCCGTTGTTGCTGCTGCTGCGGGTTCTGGCCCTGTGCAGGCCCCTTCTTCGAGCGGCGCTGATCTTGTGAATGATGCTGCGGTTCCTGGCCCTGGGCAGGCCTCTTCTTCGAGCGGCGCTGATCATTTTGCTGATGCATCTGGCCTTGAGCAGGCCCTGGCTGCTGTTGCGCTGATTTCCCAGAGCGCTGCTGCGGGCGATGGCATTGAGCATGTGCTGATGCAGCGTGCTGACGAAGTGAGCGAGGCCTTGAGGGTTGGTGCAGAATCAAAAATGACTTTGCACAATCCATGGAATCTTTTTCAGCATCAAAATAGAGGCAAAGGATGGTCGCCTGCCAAAATGGCATCAATGTACAAGACCTGGCGAGCATCTTCCAAGGATAAAATGCCTTGAGCCTACCAATTTAGGTTCCAATTTTTGTTCCAATTTTTTGGTCATGAAACTCAACTTTTGGCTGGGCGCCAAATTAATATCTCCTGAAAAATCGTGAGAAACACGATTTGGGGGAGTCTGTCATGTCAGGTGCGAAGGATGACACGCACAAATCATAGCACAGATGTTCACCTGTATTACCGCAGGCATTTTTGGTTGGAAAACAGGCGCGACGTTCTCAAGACCGTAATTAATCGTATTGCCAATTATTGTCAGCAGTCGGCAACATGGGGCAACATTGGGCAACATTGCAACACTGTCCAAGTTGGGTATTTTATGCAACACGCACAGATCAAAATGAAGTTGCTTTGCACCTGCTTGGAGCCGTCAGGAGCTAGCGGAGGCAACTGTGGATGGTGTTGCTGGCTGCTCAGCCGTGACGACATTCTGCCAGACGCACGTGCACCATATGCAGTTTGCCCTGAGGCAGTGTCTGAAGCAATCCTCACAGTTCCCTCCTCCGCCTGTGCCCAAGCTCCGATGTCCTTTGATTTGCAGCTGGTTTTGCTCAGCCTTCGTGCTGTGTTTTTGTTGATGAATGAAAGTGCATAACATGTCTAGCAGCCAAGAGACCAAAATTGACAGTTGATCCACGAGAGTTGAGGCAACAATGCTGCACCGGCGAGCGCTCCTTGATGCAGCAAAGATTGCAGGGAACTGGCCTCAGCTCCTCAGCATTCCATCCTCATCATGAGATGAAAAGCTAAGGGCAAAACAATGAAACTGCGAGCAAGACACTGGGTGAGTTTCTTATGGATGAAAACACATGTGCCTTTGGAGCGCAAAAATTGTGCTTCAGACCATGAAGTGACCAATTCTTGTACAGGACAGATCACAAGCCTGATGGAGTCATACAGCCTGCATGAACCTGGCCAGGTTACCCCGACCACAATTGATTCATGAAACATCGGCTGCAGCGCTTCACCGTGCGCTGGACCTTTCACTTGGAGGCTGCTGGTGCAGTCATGAGAGTCATGACCAAGTGTACCAACTTTGTTGTGGATTGAATCGATTCCATCGATCCAAGTGGTGTCAGCAGTGCCAAAATGTAGTTGCGAAGAAAGAATCTTAGGATGAATAGGGAAGATTGATGAGAATCCTGGAATCGACAGGTGCGGGGAGTGCAGCTACGAATACTTCTGAGGAAATTAGAGCCAACAGGTTCGTTTGCTTTCTTTGACACTTGTGAAATTGGATCCCCAGGTCTGTTGCATCAACAATCTTCTGTGTCCGAGGTCCACAGTACTTTTCTTCAATATGGGCAGCAGGCATGTTGAGGCGAAGGGATCATTGAATAAATACCTTGGAATTTTACTCTGTTTCGAATGTGCTCCGGATTTGCGCAAACGAGATTGAAGCAGCTTGCACCTGGGTGCTTGGCCCTGGGCCTGCTTGCAGGCTTGTGTTGTGGATTACCAAGGAGTTCTTGCCTTATATAGTTTTCACTGCTGTGCAAAAGGCAGAATGTAGTAGGCATATGCACGCTTCACTGGAAGCTCTGAGATGCTGTGAGTACAGGCAACATATCAGAACAAGGATACAGTGGCCATGAATGCGCCGGACTCAGCATCTCGATCATGGGTCATATCAAAGACAGCTTGTGAGATTTTCTAATTTTTGTGCATACTGTAGTGAGGTTGCTGGTTGTGGCACTAGTGCGAGCTTGGGAGGACACCAGGTGAGTCTTGCAGCATCACGGCTGGCATGCCTTTTCAAGGTCAAAAATCATCAAATACAGGATGCAAAGATATGCAAAGATATGCAAAGATATGCAAAGTCTGCAAAGGCAAAACGAATCATCACAGAGTCGCAGAGGGCTAGCGCTGCTCATGAGGTTGATCTCATTATCGCTGACCAGATGCTCGAGTCATTCAAGGCATTTCGATTTCACAACTTGCACTTGGGATTTGTTTTACTCTCATGGGCCATGAGGTCTATGCAGTCCATGATGTCATCTAGCTTTTGGTCTTGCAGTATGCGTGCGTGTGTGGGTGGGTAGAGTGCAAGGGTGAAACCCTTGAAGATATTGCTTGCTAAGCTTCAGGGGTTTGTGCATTTTGAGACTCATATATTATTCTGGAGACTTCCTTAGTGTTTCGCTGCGGCTGGCATTTTTGGTAGATCTTCCATGAAGTATGAATGGAACTGCTGACTTCTTCCGTGGCCTGTTTCGCATTTTCGATCACTCTTCGTTTTTTCCCTTTCCCAGCCTTGCTTCCATCTCTCTTCCATCTATGCTCACCGACTTTGTCTGACTTTGTCTTCTTGTCTGGTAAATTTCGTAAATTTCGATGCTTGTGACGTACAACACTCTGTGGATGCACTTCATGGTGATCCACGGGAAATTCTTCTTATCAGCATCTTTAAATCTTTAAGCCTTTTAAAGCCTTTTAACGCCTTTAACTATCTTTAACTTTAATTTCAAAATCACTTCAAATCCTGCAACTCTTGCTTTCAGGGTCTGCTTGTTTCTGGAGCAATGCATTAATTCTCTTTGATTGCTCAAGGTGTTTTTGACCTGTTCTGGCGTTTATTGATACTGGTCTCATGCCCAAGAAGTTTGGGAGGCGAAACACCCAAAGCTGAAGGACGTGGACAAGTCCGCAGCCACCTCACTTGAAGACTATGTGCATTTGAATGTCAGAACATGTCAGAACATGTCAGACATGTTTGCAATTTGGGTGCTCTTACCAGTCTTACCACTTGTCAATGGGATTTCAATGGGATTCTATTGATTCTATTTGGTGCTAGGTGAGAGCCTTGAAAAAGTTAGAGAAGCAGGCACTCGCATTGAAACATGTTCTCAGCTGATTCCTCAGTCCACTCTTAATCGAGAGCTTAGGGCCGAAGACAGCATGGCTTGAGACAAGCAGTTCCTCAGTATACATGCTCGAGCATATTAAGGTGCAAACAAAGAAGGCTCAGCTTGACGATCGCAAAGCCAGACCACTCTAAGTCTGCTCTTTTGGATTCTTTCGGATTCTTTCGGGACTTGGCTCTTTTGCCTTTTCCATCCTTGTCTGCGCCAGGCCTCTTCCGAGTTGAGTCACTGTATGAGGACACGGATTTTGCTCAACAGGTGTGGTGCTATGTGCTCTGTGTTGCTATGTGATGCTTGGTTTGTTGTCGTTGTCGTGATCACATGAATTGCATGTCGTTGCACAAATTGCATCATCAGTTGCATTCAGTTGCTGTCAATGTCGTGCCGTCGTGTCTCAGATTGGCTTCGAGGTCACCCGAGATCAGCTTGAGAGTTGGACTGCAGATTTATTCTCCGATTTGCGGAAGCCTCTGGAGGCGTGAATGAAGCATTCAGCTTTGAAAATCGGAGAATTTCGCTGAATTCAGCTTGAAGCTGAAAGCATTCGCAGAACGTGACAAAAGTTCGTGTGAATTCTCGAGTGTGTGTTGTTCAGCCAAAAGTTTGCTGGCAATGAGTAGCTATCATTAGCTATCTGTACATGTTGAGGATGCACTGAGACTTGCAAGCAAAAGCTTCGATGACTTGGAAGCTGTTCGAACCTCAGTCATGCCACTGCGCAAGTACATGTTGCGGAGGGAAGACAAAGTGAACAAGAAGGCGCCATGATGTCATTGTAATGTAATTGTAATGTCATGGTAATGTCATCGTAATGTCATTGTAATGTCATTGTAATGTCGTGCCTGTTACGTGCTTAGGGCCTATTACTGAAAATTCTGAGAGGTGGAGATGGTTGGGGGCGGCTGGCGCATTCCAAAGATCCAATCCATGTTGGTCGACTACCTAAAGGACTTGAAGCAAATCAAAACAGGTCGCGTTCGTTCGAAGGCTGCAGTGGAAGCATATCATGTCCATCATGGTTAATAAGGAGAGCATAGGTTGCTTGAATAGTCACCACTCTCCTCACCAACTAGGAGCGCCGCTCTCAAGATGCTACAGATTTGGTTTTGAGTATCAGCCCCAGTTTGAGTGTAGTCAGGAAAGAAAGCTTTGCCATCATGCTTGTATTGTATTGTCTTTGCATTCTCGAAGTTCATTTCCGTTTTGCTTCGGTGCTTTATCCATTGGTTTCTTCTTGTATCTTGTTGATTTCGGGCTTGGTGGCATCTCTTTTTGGACAAGGCCAGCACGTCAATGGAGATGAGGTTGGGCAAAGTACTCCAGGAGTTCAACTTGATACTGAAACTGTCTGAAACTACTGGTAGTTTCACCTAGTTTGAGCTTCAACCTGAATGTAGGCAATGGCAACAGGTGGGGCTTGGTATGGCGTGAATTCCTCTGTGAGTTTCCGTGCAAAAAAGAATCTTGGCTGGTGTGTTCGCTGCATGATTGATACAAGTAATGGAGCATGCAGAAAAGTGAAGCAGTTCGATTGTCTCAAAGAGATTCAAAGAGTATCATGCAACTTGTGTCTTGTGCTTCCTTGGCTGAAGAGCTTAGGATCTACTTCACCGACATGATGCAGGGTCGCCAAAACTGGGGGATGATTTCCAGCAGCAGTCTTTTTCAAAGTGTCTGCTTATGCAAGGATACATGCTTATGACCTACTGCTGGAGTTCTCAACTCAGTTGTTGGCGATGTAGAACTGCTTTTAGGTGCTCAAAGATTGCGATTTCCGTGGGTTCTCCTTCTGTTCCTTTGAGCAGTCAAGGCCCTTGAATGCCTCCCAGCCACATGAAAGTGGCTCCTTGATTGCACGGATCTACATGGTTGCTTGTGCTGTTTTTATTGGCTGTATCAGCAGTCTATTGTGTACATCCCATGAAGCCCTCAGAATTGATCGAAAAGAAGAGGTGTTTTGCGAAAGGAATACTCTGCACCTGCAACCCAAGAACTTTGTCTTCGCTTTCAGCATGATCCACTAGCGAACACGTGTCCCAGGGATTCTCAGGAGTGTATTAGTCATTATTATTCACTGCTCCATACTTGTAGGAACGTGAGCAATGGTAACGGTATCCTCAAAGTGTGGATGAAATTCTCATGAAAAATGGTGTTCAAAAATGCTCTCGAAGCTCATTTCTGAAAATCAATGGTCAGTTTGAGGAGCACGTTTACGGGAGCAGTTTAGGAGAGCATGTAATCACACTTTCACTGGCCAAGACATCCTCATAGCGACTCCTCAGTAATGTGTTTATCAGAAGGCCCTCAGAGATTCTACTCACACTCGCAACTGAACTTTAGAACAGCTGTCCCGAAGAGTGTGTAAGTGGACAAAGACCAACAGGTCATGCGAATATGTAGAGGCAACAGTAGAGGCAACAGTAGAGGCAACAGAGGTGGATGGTTTTTTCCATGAGTTTTCACTCCCTCGCATGTTGTTGGATGTTCCGTTTCAGGTTGGATGCGAGGCGTCGAGCTATTTCCAGCTTTGGTGCTTCTGCCAAGTTTTGTGTGAAGCATTGCTCGCATTCTTTCTCCAATGTGAATAGAGTCATGTCAGGGCAAGTTGCGAGCCAAGAAGACTGTGAAGATGAACATATCCTTTGACCTTAAGGCAAGACTACCCATGGCAGAAGGATCCTAAGGATTCAACGAATTTGTGAGAAGACATGAAAAGCGTGACATTTGGAAGCAGGCCACACTGTTGGAGAATGGGACACCAATCTGCTACTGGGAGTTGGGAGCTTTCTTCAGCTGGAATGTCGAGATCTTTACTTCGTTCTCACTAGTTCTAACAGCTTTGTCTGACTCTGCTTTTGCTTGTTGGAACTCAATTTTGTTGCATTGTATTGTTTTGTGTTTCCACGAGTCGAGGTTTCCTGGAATATATGCTGCCACACAGCAGTCCAGATCGCAGAGTGGCAAACAAATGCATCAGTGTGGGGTCGGAGGACAGGCCGTTGTAAGAGGAAGTAGAGGAAGTATAAAGATTTGGCCAACTGCGAGGTTTGAGTGGCAAGCAATGAAAGGCTGTGCCAAGCAGTAGCCAATGTAACACACCAGCATATAGAATCATATAGAGCTATTTCATATCTCTGTGACTAAGGTACGAGGACTTGAAGGAGCCGCTGATTTCTTTGAAGTTTGATGCTTTGAGCATTGGACATATAGCGGGGTTTTAAGGTACTTTATAGTGGCAGCACAAGGGCACTCTACTGTCTTTGTCAATAGCATGGCTCAGAAACCTTGACTAATTCAGGATACGGCGGTTACCCGACAAAGCACTATATAGGCAAAAAGTATCAGCATGCACACGAGATTGCTGAGAGCTATCCATTATTGTCTCCTAGCGCGATTCAGGTTTGAATTGAGCGGCAGTGGGGCCGGTATCTCAGCAAAGCTTAGAAAAGCAACTGTTGCTTGATCTATGCTGATTTATCCTGATTTTCGAATGAAGCTTCTCAGGTTGTCCAGGTATCAAGTGCAACAGCCATCTTTGACCAGTGCGGGGCTGAAGGATGAAGGATGCAAGCAATCTAAGTTAAGTTGTGCTTGAGAATCTGAGCTCAGGCCCATGCCAGTGAAAAGCATTGACAAGGCTTGGATCGACATAGATTAGATGAAGATTAGATGACGTAGACCACATCAAGTCTTTTTTTCTTGCTGCATTTGCTGCATTTGCTTGTGCAGAACACACCTTTGGAAAATGAAAGTGCAGAGGACTGAGTTGCCAATTTCGTGAGCGCTTGCGCTTGGCTGTAAATTTGTTGACTTTCGGGTTGAGGCCCTCTGAGAGGTTCCCAGGCTTCCGATGCTTCCGTTGCTTCCGTTGCTTCCGTTGCTTCCGTTCCCCAGATCCGAGTCCTTTATTTGGGATGGCAGGACATGGCAGGCCATCCCAAAGGCTTTTATCTTGATTTCTCTTGTAACAAGTCCTTGTAACATCTTGTAACTACACCACCTTGTCAAGTGCTCAAGCAAGATAGACTCAGATAGACAAGGAACTCAAGGAACTAGGTGCAAATTGCTGCCGAAGGAAGAAAATTCAAGCAATGTGGAGGACTGCGATGGGGCTGCTGTGCCCTATGCCCTGGAGCCATTTCTCAACAAATTTCTCCACCAATTCGAAGGACTTGAAATGTGTTGATTGCGGTCATGACAGGAGGAGGCTGACTCAATACCTCAGGCGGCCTGAAGTTTCTCGAAGTTTCATGCCTTGAAGGTTTGAAAAGGATGGATCCAGGATGGACAAAAAGTGAAAAAGGATGAAAAAGGCAGATTCGAAGCCATCAATCGAAGGCTGATTCTGATGGAGATGGAGCTGAGGGAACCAAGGAGGACTTTAGCTCAATGAGCAACACTCTTTTGATGGGTTGGGAATGGTTGGGATTGATTCTTATGCTGTTATACTTCCAGTCGCACTTGCCAAGTATGTACATGTACATTTTTGTATACACGTATATACAAATACAGTATATATCACGCACACTTGTACTGTATATATCCGTATAATGTCTATATATATATATGTATGTATATGTACGATTCCATTGCTTTTCTGATTGGCAGTGAGTAGATTCCTAGAGGCGCTTCTGTTTGGTTTCTTGCGCAGTCTGACCGCAGTCTGACTCCAACTCCTATCGCCTCGCCGATTTGGATGTCAGTGATGTCAGTGTCATGTCAGTGCGTGGACCAGGCGGACTTACGGTGTGCACACGCACAGAGAGATGAAATGTGGCCAAGAGGTGCCAAGAGACTATTTTTTTAGTTCACATTTTGTTCACGTATCATCCCATTGATAAGTGGCAAGATGGGAGAACATATGAATGCAAATCCACATCCCAGTGTCACGTCCCCTCACAGAATCAATTCCGCATTTGCCATACTTGAAATGACAGAACACCCGTCACCCTGAATATGTTAGAAGTGAAAATCTCAAAAGTAACTGCTTGTAGCAGAAGCAAGGGGCCAAACTGCAGTTGATTGTCAGGGCAAAAACCATCAACAAGGCAAAAGAACACAGCATGTTTGAACGCGCAGTCCATGTGATTTGCACCTCAATCATCGAATCACACAGCCCTTCTTCGTCATTTTCATGGCGCTTTGTCCAACTATATAACTCTCAACTCCGAAACGCCAACAGATACACGAAAGCGACCGTCTATCCGAGAAAATACCAGGATGAATGCCAACCTTGCCCTAACCTCGGCAAGTCCCTCAACGTTCCTTTATACCCTGGACAGGGTAATTGAGAATTTCGGCTTGCAAGCACAAGCTACGGCCGCTTCCAAGTTCCTGAGACAATGCACCCCAATGTGTTTTGATCTAGCAGTGATCCAGCCATTGGGTGATAGGACTTCTCGCACACACACACACGCAGAAAACACAAGGGAAGTAGTTGAAGTAGTTGAAGTAGTTGAAGCTGGCAAACGTCCGCAAGGATCTGTCAGCTTTCTGTTTGCTCAACTGCAAGCTGTGTATATCGGAGAGGGGCGTCCCGGCCGCGTCCCCCAGCCTAAGCTACGTACTTCGGAGCTGCCGTAGCTGCTGACTATTCACAAATGGCAGGCGGTGCTCAGTGTGTAGCTGATTGTATTTGTTCAGGGAGGAATTGCTGCAAGAATCAGTATAGTGACACAATGTAGCATAAGAGTATGATACAGTATAGTTGCATGACAAAAACTATATTGGCACATATAATATATCATGTATATATATATATATATATTGAGAAAGCCAGCTAGCTGGCTAGTTGCTGTTTGCGAACGAAGTGAGAATAGGGGGTGTGGGGGGGGGTGGTTGCCGAAAGGGAACGAAATCTCGCCGTGCCCCTGTGTTGAGCGCGAGAAAACGGAGCATTTTGCTGGATTATGTACCACTAGGCAATTTGCTGACGGTGGGGTATCGATTCCCCCTAGGTCCGCCTTTTTGGTGGCCGGAGAGGCCATGAGGATGTATTGGAAAATACAATGAAACTGCAGGAAAACATGATAACGATCAGAGGAAATCGTACAAAATCCCCTGGAATCCTGGAAAACGGACGAAAACGGAGCGAATGCTAGGAACAAACCATGGAAAATCCCTTGGAAAATGGAGGAAACCGGAGCGGATGCTAGGCGCAAACCCATGACGATACAGTAAACATGCTGGAAAAATACAGTGAAAGTGCAGGAAAATGTGATAACAACGAGAGGAAATGGTGCAAAAAGGATCGGAAAATGAAGGAGACAGGTAAAACTCTTGGAGATATTATTAATATTGAAAAGGTATGTATGAAAATGCAAGAAACCAGAGGAAATGGTGCAAAAATCTATGGAGGAAAGAGGTGAAAATGATAGGAAACATGCAGTAAAAAAATGCTGGACAAAACATATTGAAAACCCACGAAGAGGATGTATTGGAAAATACAATGAAACTTGAGGAAACCATGATAACGATCAGAGGAAAAGGCTAGGAACAAACCATGCAAAATCTGTTGGAACATGGAGGAAACCGGAGTGACTGCTAGGAACAAACTATGACGATGCAGTAAACATGCTGGAAAAAGACAGTGAAAGTGCAGGAAAATGCGATAACAACCAGAGGAAATGGTGCAAAAACGATCGGAAAATGAAGGAGACGGGTAAAACTCTTGGAAAAATACATTGAAAATGCAGCAAACCAGAGGAAATGGTGCAAAAAGGAGACGGGTAAAAATCTTGGAAAAATAGATTAAAAGTGCATGAATAGACTGAAAACCCACGAAGAGGATATAGAAACTGCAGGAAAACATGATAACAATCAGAGGAAATCGTGCAAAATCCACTGGAAAATGCTGGAAAGATACAGTGAAGGAAAATGTGATAACAACCTGGCAGGAAAATGTGATAACAACCAGAATAAAGGGTGCAAAATCTGTTGGAACATGGAGGAAACCGGAGCGACTGCTAGGAACAAACTATGACGATGCAGTAAACATGCTGGAAAAATACAGTGAAAGTGCAGGAAAATGCGATAACAACCAGAGGAAATGGTGCAAAAACGATCGGAAACTGAAGGAAACGGGTAAAACTCTTGGAAAAATATATTGAAAATGCATGAAATGCAGGAAACGAGAGGAAATGGTACAAAAAGCCATAGAGGAAAGCGGAGAAAATGGTAGGAAGCATGTAATAAAAAAAACTGGACAAAACACAGTGAAAACCTACAAAAGAGAAGAAAGTAACCACAGGACAGGAAACGGTAGAAAAAGCAGTGGAAACTGGAAGAAAAGTTGTGACAATATTAGGAAAACGGTGTACAAGCTAGGAAATGCTTGTAACAACTAGAGGAAACGATGTAGAAAACAGTACAACATGGAGGACACGCGTGAACATGCTTGGAGGCATGCAACATGTTAGAAAAATACAGTGAAAACCTAGGAAAATGTTATAACTAAAAAATGCTTTAAAAAATATAGTGAAAACCAAGACAATGTCAACGAGCGGAAACGTTGAGCAGGAAATCCGATTTGGTTTCTGTAGATAATGTTAGATGATGAGCAATGTAGTTTGGTGATAGGAAATAGTGGCTGACTCGCGTACAAGACATTGCCATGAAACCTTGGAGCAAGATGCGGATGGTATAGGAAAAAAGATGTATGAGTTGTAAGATTTTAGGAGTTGCATGGGAAAATTGGTTTCATGGTAATCTGTGTGAAGTTAGAAAAGTGTGATTTCGTTCACAGAGTAAGAAAAATAAATACAATCTGCAGATTAGAGTATTTATAATGCTTAAAGCTGTTTGACGTTTTTTGGTGCCTCCCTGATTCTGGTAGTTTTGTGATAAGAACTACAAAAACGATCTACTGGTAAACGGAAGGAATAGTCTTTCCGGTTTAGAACTGAGTCGACTGTCAAGTGATGCATAGGCTCCAGGCCTCTGGTTATTGTCACAAAGCATTGGAATGAAGATTGCGCCCAGGAGCCACCTAGGTTAGGAGACAAATGCTGTAATATCATTGTAAGAGGCCGTACTGAGAAGGCTGAAACAGAACTAAAAGTGAATCTTGTACTAAAACATCGAGAAAGAATTTGAATCTTCTAATGGCAATGACGGGAATGATATGCATCTGTACGTCCGTGATAGTATATGTGCCTTTTAAAAGGGATGTTTGGCGAGTGTGATAGCTGAGAAGATTTTCCGGGATGCCAAACAATTATCTCTATCGATGTCAGGGATGATGCTATTCCGCGACATTTCCTGTAAAATACCTATTTTCCAGACCCTTGGGGGGTGGGGGGGGTACCCAGGTCTGTAAATGGCCTAAATATATATACTTTTGATTTGGACTGCATGTTCGCCACTGTTCTATATTTCCCGTGGGTTTTGCATTGTTTTCCTCGATTTTCATTCGTTCTTATACCCTTTCTTACGTATGTTATAATATTGTCTTGGGTTTGCACTGCCCATTTTGCGAGTAGAGCTATGTTTTGATTTCTCACCGTACGGCCAAAATGTTGCGGAACTTCGCGGAGAAGCATGGACCACGCTGGGGAGAAAACAATTTAGACTTTGAGAGGTCACATGACCATTGTTCACACAAAAAAGCGGGTATTATTTATCTACAATAGGTGGGAGCAAACTTGCGCTGTTTTAAGATAAATGAGCAACCAAAGGCGGATTTACGGAACTTGAGATAGAACTTTTCGCAATGCCGCAGTACATTGTAGGAAACATATTTGGATATAGAAGTTACAAAATCGTGGAGTTTACCCTAAAAAAGGTCCATTTAATGATTGGAAAATTATGACCCGATAGCAATTGTTGATGTTGGGGCGCTTCATGTTTGAGCCATGCCATATGGATGAGGTGGAGTTTCACGCGCCCCCGCGCGAGTCAAAAAGCAAGCGCCGGCTTTCGTTCCACCCCTTCTCAGGTATTATAAAAATATATATATATATATATGGTTTGTGACTGTTTTTTGACTTCGGGGAGTCAGTCCTGAGCTGGTGGAAGAGGCCAAATCAGGAGTGTTTTGCTCACAACCTGCCGAAGGTGGAAGCTTTCACGAAATTCCTCGTAGAACATCAGAAAGCTCCACTTGTACTGAGTGGGTGAATGATTCTGCGACTGATGTGCCTTGGCAGTACCATCCTTTCGCTGTGGGATAGGATAGAAGGCCATTGAATCGGATAGAAGGTTTCGAACGTTGGATTCCAGCATACTTGTCCCATCTTGTGCCCTTCTGAAGCATTCAGACTGAGGTTTGCATGAACTGCCATGCACGCTTTGGGGTTATGCAACTCCGGCGAAAGCACCACTGCCGAAGATGTGGCAAGGTGTTTGGAAAGAGTTCCTGATTTTGATGTGAGACTTGAAACATTCGATTGACAGAGCCAAAATGCTTGAAATAGGATTCGACTGGCGTGATATTTTTTTCCCCGTTCTCAGTGTCCTGCAGGTGGTTTGCAGCACTTGCTCCAGGTCAAGGGAACTGGTACTTGAGTACCATCCTGCAAAACCTCAAAGAGCAAGCCCGGCAAGTTTGCATTAGATGCTTTGAGACTCAAAACATGAACCGAAGGCGAAATACGGATTACAAACCACACAGCATGGACAGCAATACTAAGTAAGACACTCATGGCATAGAACTTCTCTATTTCTCTTTTTTGAGATAGTTTTTGTTGCTTTTCTGGGCTCATTTGGGCACCATAACCTCAAACAGCAAGTTCTGTCATGTCCTGTGTCCTGAGCAGAATGCAAACTCGAGGTTTGCAATAGTTGCGTTGCTGCTCCTCCAATTGCAGAGAATCCGGAGGAGGTTTGGACTCACTTTGTTCAGCTTGTAGATTGCTGTCCTGGCCTTTGCTGTTTGCGCGAGCGTTCATCAAACTTGACAATGTGCGGCTTATGCCAAATTATGTAGCAAATCGTCAGCCTTCAGTTGGTCCCGCAGGCTGCATCGGCAGCTCTGGAGGCGGTAAAGGCAGGAAAGCATGCGAAGCCTCTCAGCGCCACCCCAAGAAGCACAGTTTTCGATAGTTTTCGACCACAACTCAAGCAATAACTCAAACAATAACTAAAACAAATAGAACTGCAATGCTGAGAACCTTAACCCTTAAACTGAAAGATATATATATATATATGTACCTACCAGCACAAGACCGGCAATGCTGAGGCTGCGACCAATGGTTCGTATAATTACTCAAGAGTCTCAAGAGGGCTTAACGATTGTTGGTCAGAAGGGCTTGCAAGGTGTCGATGACCAATGTCGTAGGATGCTGCATGTTGGGAGTCTTGCTTAGCTGCTGTTGGTGCTGTGTAAAGAGACGGTATTTTTTGATCGAATGATGAGAGATGAAACTGTGATGATGAGAGCTTTCTTGGTCTCTTTTCAAAGTTTTTTCTGGGGTTCACCGAAGGTGGCGTTCGTCGTTTGATCGGTTGCAAATGTGCGCAGAGTTCATGGCTGGCATGATCAGAAGATCCGCTGTAGTATATCGAGCTGCTGACCTTCTATCCCTTTGCATGTCTAGAAATGCGGAGGGAATCAAGGGTCTCATGGTTTGTGTTATTGATTTGTGTTTTTGAATTCCTCATCATGGGTGCAACAAGATAACACGGCACTATGCGCCCCCCATGGATTCAACAATTGGGTGCATTCAAGGAAAACATCGCATCCAAATTCAAAATGAGGTGCAGCTTCGTTGTGTGGAATGCCTGTACCATCCTGTGATGAGCATCGGGAGTTCGCAACTTTGCAGGCTTCTGTGGGTGTTGGTGTTGATGCATTTTGAGCTCCACAAAGCGATAGTGAAACTACGTAAGTTTGAGCAGTGATAACCCTCCATTTCTGTTTTCCTTGTCAGGATATTGAATTATTATATAAGTGTGTTCTTTGCACAGTAAAGGGCAAGATCAGTTCAACAGAGCTAGCCCAAGCGCAACGGTGATGGAGCGATTTTTGCTGTTAATTTGCTCTAGCAGGTACGCGTGATTGAAGCGAAAGGCTTGCTGGCTGCTGACTTCAATTTGGTTTCAAAAAAGAGTCTGACACTCGGCGACACTCGGCGACACTCGAACAATCAAACTGAATCAAACTGATGGATCCGTGCCTGAAATGATGTACTCGATTGGTCTTTGAAGCCCTTGAAGCCCAGGTTCAGATCCGTATTGCCTTCTTCGAGTCGGGCATGGGGTGCAGGCGAGGGACAGAGATATGATGAGATTTGCATCACGTGCCAAGTTGTGTGTGTGTGTGCGTAGGAAAGATACAGCATGAAATGTGATTGTAGAAACTGTGACCGCATTGACATATTTTGAATGTGAGCACATAAACAGCGATCATAGACATGTTATGTTATGAGTTATGATTTTCTGTACATGAATCTTGACAAAACAGGCGCTATGTAACTCTATAGAATCTATGTAAAGCATTGTTTGTTATTCTGAAAGTAGGCGTGAGCGTTTGACTGACGAACATGTGGATCATGTGGACATAGCAAGGTGAGGACTTGTACTGTTGGTGCCACGCTCGAGCCTCGCACGGAGCTCAGCAATGCCAAGAGCGGCAACATTTCTGATCCAAAGATATCCACATAGATATCCAAAGCGTTCAGAGATTCGGAGGTTTCAAAGTTTTCTAAGTTGAAGGACCGAACAAGTGACTTGACATGTGACTTGAAGTCCACTCATTTGCCGCCCGATTTGTTGGGTTTCTCTGAGGCTGGGATGTAACGACAGCCTTTCGCGTGAGTAGACTAGATTCCTTTTTGCATTTGGAGGCAAAGTCCGTAGGTCGCGTCGCTCTTTTTTTTTAGGCGGAACCTCGCCTGATCTGCATTTTTTCCTCATGTTTCCTGATTTTTTGTCTGACGCGCTTTGTATTGAATGAAGCAGAATTGTTATGATGGAATTTTCTGTTTGTGGCTTCCATTTCATCCGTGATGTGCATCAAAGCAAATCAACCCTGTAGGTGTGGGACGAGGACCGGACAAGCTGGTTGCAAAACAGCGGATGTTTTTTTGAACATTCCTGATAATTTCATTCTTGTGTAGCTTGGTTGATTCGGTTGTCGCTTTCGGCCAAGGGAATCATGTCAGGGAAAAGGTCAGGATGCAGGTTGAGATTCAGGTTGAGTGCATTTTTTGCAAGAGAAGGCGATGGAATTGAGAGGAGAAGACACTGTGGTGTTGGAGATGGGTGCTGTGCTGCGAAGGTGACTGCATTGGAGCGATGATGTTGGCGGGCGCTGTGCTGGGGCGGCCTTGCGAGGTTACAAGATGTATCAAGATGTTACAGGTGACAGGGAGGAAATGAATCGAGGCGATGTTAGGCTGGGGGACATGGCTGAGCGATGATGGAACATGATGGAACCAAGGATGTCGTGTGATGGGCTTGGAAAGCGCAACGACAGTGTGCGTAAAGCAAAACCTATTTTGTTGGCTTCACTGCCATTGGGTCTGTTGCCTGCATTCTTCGCATTTTCATCGATGTGTTTAAAGGACACCGCAACCAGGGATGATGCCCTTGGCTTTCTCGACCTATCTTTGGCTAAAGTGGCTTGGCAACCTTAGGATGGTGCAGTGACATTATCATCGCACAATCGCATTTGAAAGCGTACTCTTGTCACAGTGACACACAGGTGCCCCTCTCGAGACCCTTCCGCGGCTGGGTTGCTTCATCTGCAAACTGATTTTGTCGTGAGGACGGAGATATTATGACTTCACACACATGTCGTGGACAAGTCTCAAATGGTTTCAGGGCCCGCTTTTGCTGATTGAGACTGGGTGTTTCTGGACAGATTGATGTTGGCTTGTCTTACACTAAAACGCGGACAAGTCTGATGCCATTCTCTGACCGCTTCCATGCACTGTAAGAATCATAGACAGTGATGGTGCAAGTCACCTAATGTCCTTGCTCCATGGCAGCATATTCCCGAAGGGTTTGTGATGCTGAGATTCCACCTTTGGCAATTTTAAATCAAGTTGTGACCGCTCAAACTATTCAACAATTAATGTTAATTTAATACTTTTGTGTGCGAATTGCTGCACAGTTTGATCATGAGAACGCATCCTGGCTGTACTTTCTGTGCCTGCTGTTGGTAGTGCATGCAATGTACATGTGCGTATGGCCTGGTGCGCGCATACAATTTATGACACATGCACAGACATACTACATGTTATACAGTTACAAACTACATGCATAATATACACATATGCACAGACCTGATATGCATTTGGACATTCTCTTGCACGTACATAAATGATTAGCTACACTACACACATCACACACGCACACATATCTATCTATATGTATATACATTTTATTTGTTTGACTGTGCACACACACACACACACACGTGCATATGTATATATATATATGTATATATGTACATATACATAGACACATACATAAACATGGACACAAACACATATGTACATGTTTCCACACACAGATGCATTCACAGATACATGTCCCCAGATTCCACAGTCAAGGAATATGTTCTTGAAAAGAAACAGGTAACCTGATGCATGCATGACATGTATGGCATGTATGGCATGTATGGCATGTATGGCATGTATGGCATGTATGGCATGTATGGCATGTATGGCATGTATGGCATGTATGGCATGTATGGCAAGCAGGTAAGTGACTTTAAGTGACTGTAAGTGACTTTAAGTGCATGTCTGCGTTCTGTAATGCTCTGTAGATTGAGGTTCCGCTTCGACCGCCGGAGGTGCGACGCTGCATGATGCCCATGCTCAAGCGGGCGGCAATGCTTTGTAACATCGGGGACAAGCGCACAATGACAACACGTTCCATTCCACAGTTGCAGGCGCAGCCACTGCCGGGGGAGGATGCAAGGAAGACTCCAGCCACTGGTGCGGGTGCCGTTCTCTTGGAGGCAAGAAACTGCATTTTCACTAGTCACTAGTGTCCTGAGACCTTGAACACAAATGCCGAGGTGAGTAAGACAGACCTGTTTAAAGGCCGAATATGGCGGAATGTAGAAAATACCCGAAAACACCCCGTGTAGTTACAATTTGTGTGAACATGTTTTGAATCAGTTGAGACACACTCTGAAGACACTGCGTGATTCAGGTGCAGATGCTGGACGTCAAGCCAGTGAGGCGGTTCCAGGCATTTGTGTCGCCGTTGCCGCCAGTCCCTCCACCGTTCGCGCCTTATCGACAGCAGGCGTTTGCAAGGTAGTTGTGTGAATGTTTTTGTTTGAGGTAAAGAAAATCCTTCTCCTAGTTGCTTCTTGCAAACTTTGCTCTGCAGGGACTGATGAATCCTAAGCTGATTCTTTGACGTTTGAAGGATAAATGAAAAAGCTATATTATATACCTGTGACAAGTTTCACTCTGCAGAATGCAAACCCACTAGGAACAAGAAGTTGGACAGAAGGTCTGAAATATCCCAGAACCTATTCCAAAAAGACGTCAGATAATATGCCAGAACATATCTCAAAATATATTGCCGAATCTAGTGCAGAATATATAGGAATTTGTTGCCCTCATGTTGCTAGTTCTTGAGTCTGAAGGAGGTCGGTTTCCAGAGAGATGCTTTCTGCATAGTTGTGCCTTTTTGTTTTGGCAATGTATCTCTCGAAATCACTTTTCCAGCTAGCCTCTTTCCTTCCATACGCGTGGACCAGCTTTGGCCCGTGCTTTCGAGAGTGTTGACTACTCTGTTGTGGTTGTCCTGCTAAGACCATGTTTTTGTGGAATACGACCGTGTGATTGCTAATTTATACATTTCACCCATTCTGTTTGAATGAACCACATTCATTCAATATTTTTTTCACAATGCTGCTGTTGGTGCTGCAGATCTCAGCCTGGCGAAGGTTACCCCATTTTGACATTGATGCAGTATATGGTCCTGCAATGCATTTGGTAGACTTGATTTGGCAGCTTGGCGTGTAGTTCAGTTTACTGTAAGATGTTGGAACTTGGAATTATGCGAGCTTGCATTTGGAATTGTGCGTCTCTTCATATGCAAGATGTTGCTGCTGAGGAGTCGTTTCCTATCTCCGATTCTGTTCTGGATCCTAGGCCTGTTCGGTCGAATCATTTCTTTCATCAACTGTGATTGGTGAGAAAACGTGGGTAATTCGGACGTTTTTTTTTTCCCCTGAGCCGGAAGAACCACTTTGCACAAAGTTTGGCATTTCCACTACAAACTGCATACTTGATACCTCTTGATATCACTTGATCAACGAAAGTCATGTGCACTCAAATGAAGCAAAATTGCTCCCACGCTCAGATTTAATATTCTGGGCAAGTCCAACGCGAACATTGTTTGCGCTGATTCTATGGAACGTCGGTGCGAAGTATTGCCTTGAGCGCTTTGACAAATTATGGTTGCTCCGAGTGATCGCTGTTTCAGTCTCAACAGACATGTTTGAGCTTTGCAGACTGAGGCATTATCCTGCTTTTTTTCCGCTTGGTCTTCTTTGCTTTATGCTGCGCCATTACTTTCACGAGAAAGAAGAGGCGTTTGAAGATGCAGACTTTGACTGGATCTCCAATCATTTTTGTTTCGGTTTGCAAATGAGAAACCCGCAGCGAAGCAGTTGCTTGAAGAACTACCATCCAAAAGGCCTGAACAAGCAGAGACGTTGCGCAACCTTGAGTTGAGACAGAATAGCAACACCGAAATTGTTCTACTCTTGGCTTTGCAGGCTAAGGATGCGAATGTTCCGAGTGCTGTCAGTTTGCGAAAACATGCAGGTCTGAAACCCTTTCAAGCACCTCAGTACCATGGCAAGAAACCAGAAACATCCAGAAATCGCAACCTTGAGTGAAACGCCTACTCTGCATCCAATTTCGCCTGGATCAAGCATAGAAGTATACAGACTTCGTTTGCTCAAACGGCCAAAGAGTTTTTCTTGTTCTAAATGGGCCATGAAGGTTGCTTTGTGCAGGCACTGCTCTGTGAACTTCACTCCAGTGGGCTCAGTTGGGTTCTGGCTGACTAGGATTTGATCACCAGGCTTTCTGCCTATTGGACAATGTGGTCAGAGAAATCGGGATGATCCCAGACCTGTCGTCAAAAGAAAGCGCTCACCGCAAGGCCTTGGCCTTTGGATTTCCATCCTAGCGTGGCAACGCAAAAACATCAGCGTTTATGCGTCACAAGAGGATCACGACTGATTACAAGCTTGCTCTTTGGTGTTCTTTGTTGTTCAGCCTGCGGAATAGCCAGCCGAGATCATCCAAGATGGCTGCTGTTTTCAGCTCTTTTCACAGCGAAACTTGAATCAGACACCGCAGGGCACCGCAAACATCTCTTCCATGGCCGCTTGCCGCTCATTTTGAATTTCTAAAAGCGTCCCAAGGCTCTAAGCAGCAACGACACCCCAGCGCTAGTCAATCGCCCTCAAGACATTAATTACGCTTGAAAGCTGCAAGCACCCAGGTGAGACAGCTTCACGTTGTCAGAAAAGCATCGGAAAGCATTGGAGAGCATCGGAAAGCTTAGAAAGAGGGAAGAAAATGGGAGAAACACAACAAAGGAAGATCTCACTTTGTCAAATCCTTTCAAATCAAAGCAATCTCATTATTGAGCGCCTGCAAAATTTCATCAGGCCAAATTGCTTGGTTTATATAATGCGCTTCAAGTATGTGATTTGTTGACAATGGATAACAATGGTATATCATTGACTCATTGACTCATATCGACTCTAACCAATTTCTTTTTGTCGGCAATCGTTGTAGTCTTGGCTCTTATGCAGGCCGTGCGTGCGAAACGGCCAACCTTGGTGCGAAAACGAACCGCTCCAGCCATCCTAGAGGAGTCCCAGGGGCAGTGCAAGTGGCAAACTCGAACGAGTGTAGAGTGAAGGAACATGTCACGACTAGTGGGAAGAAAGTGGCATGAAAGTATTTTATACATTTTTATACAATATACGATATACGATATAACAATATTCTATTTTTTTGTTTTTATGTACCCATTCTAAATCTTCGAGCACAGTCGCAAATCTCAGACTCAATTCGATGTCGCTTTACACCAGGCTGGCAGTGAACATGGAGCTTTGTCACGACAGGCACGTGCAGCTGGGATATGGACTTATAATAACTTATATCATTATAATTTATTAATATTTATTATATACTGGCATACTGATGCATACTGTTGTATCTGTGTCTTGTGATTTGCAGCCAGGAAGCATGTGCACATAGAAGTCTCCATCGATGCTCGCAGGATAGTCGGCATGCGGACTATGATGAGGCTCAACTTGGAAGCGCAGTTCAAAGTCTGTGTTTTGTTCTCCCGGGCTCAGTCAAGGACCGTCATCACATATGACTGAAGCATTGAACAGAGCCTTCTCTGACTTCGCTTTAAGAGCTTGAATCAGCTTGACGAGATTCTTGTGCACGATGTGTGCATCCATATCACCGTGAGCGTGAGTGTTCTGCGCAGCGGCGCAGGACCTTTGTCGCGGGCTTCAACCGCTCCTTCGCACTGCTGCTGATGGTGTCCAGGTGCTTCTCTCGTACTTCCTCGTTTCTGTAAATTTTGTGAAGTTCTGAGGTTGTTGAAGCTTCAGGTCTGCGTTCCTGATTGCGGTCAGGGAGAGGGGCGCATAAATCCTGAAACAAAATATCAGAAGAATTGGTGAAGATGCATGTCTTTCCTTTAGAGCCGAAAGTTTGTGGGTCTTGATGCTCAGTTTCCAGTCCACCCAGACAGACTCCTCACATTTGAAGCCGCCGCCAGACCATCCACGACATCTTTGTTTGGGATCACGATGCAAGCCCCTTTGCAGCGATTGCGCTCCTGCTTTGGGCGGTCCTCGCTGAGGCTTCGACGTCACATGTTTCATGCCATTTCATGCCGACGAAGCTTTGAATTCAAAATGGCCTAGAAACGTTCATAAACACAATGAACATGAAACAGAATTACACACAAAGTATTTCCAGACCCTCAGGATCCCTGAAGTGTCAGATATGTGTCATCTTGGTCTCAACAGGTGCTTCGCTTTGACCTGTATCTCATGCTGTAGCCCGGCTGCATTGAGCAGTCAGGCTATTGCCAAGGTGTCAGCAAAATTGACTTTACAGGAAAAGCACTTAGAGGAATACTTATATAGATTTTCAGAAAACTTTGAGCAGAAGATAGCAGAAGCTACAGATTCAGATCAAAGAGATGTGACGGTGGCAGGTACCCGATCCAATTCCCACAGGTTCCTACAGTATGCACTATACTATATGACTACTATATACTGTTTCTCCCTTCTCTTCAAAGAGAACGTTTCTTCAAATTACAACCACTCAATGAGTCTTCAACTCTTGACATTGCTTCTCTAGACTATTGACTTTGGACGGGAACTCTGCAAGCTGATGAAGTCGCTCAAAGGAGAAGCGAACGAAAGTCGCTTTTTTCTGAAAGAGCCGCTGTTGTGTTGGGGTTCTGAGGATTGGGTCCAGCATTCTTCTTGCTTGCTCGCCCCTGCTACCTGCCGTGTCTACATCTTAGAATTTTGTGAGGTGCTACCGGATATTGAGTGGGTGCGTCATGAACCATGGCAAATGCTTCAACACGTCTTGAAAAGAGCAGGAGGAAACTGTGAAGCGTTTTGTGGTTTGCCTTTCAGGTCAGGATTTTCTGCATATTTGAGCCTGCTCCGCGCCAAAACTCAGCCAGAGGAGCTTGCTGTGCTTCAACTGGGTCGTCCGACTCTGCCCTTCAGATTGTGCGAACATTTTTTAAATATTTTCTTATGCTTTGTGTGTGCAAGCAGCCTGCAGGAGTGGGGAATGCGCAGTGAGTGTGCAGAGGCCAGTGGAGAGCCGAAAGCAGCTTCCAGGGTCTTTCCACATGGAAGTAGGATGCCTGGGTATCTCTACATCCAGAACAAAGACGAGCAGTCAGCTTGACTAGCACTTCTATATTGAGTAGCTTTGTACGAAGGAAAGGCTTTTCTGTTCCAAGCTCCGCATTTCATCGCAAGTGCAGCGCGATTTGATCCAGGAGTGGCTGAGCAAGGACTACTTGGATGTGAAGGGTTTGGCCAGTGCCTCCACTTCAGGCTCTCCATCACGGTGGGAGCCTTACCACCACTTGGCAAAGAAACGCCGTTCATGACATACCTCTTTCATCCTTTTTCGATGAGAAACTGACGAGAGTTATGGCCAGGCAGCGACTTCGCCATGGCAAGACGATGCCAGTCCTTTCCCCTTCCAAGGCAGTGTTGCTGCTTGTTCGACTCTGTGAAACACATTCAAAAGTGGCAAATGAGCTACCTGTGCAAGCCGCTATATAAATGCTGAAACATGCCAAAGGCTCTTGTTTTGTGCTTCTGAATGTGTTCTTCTGGGTCAAGAAGCCATGGCTAAAACTTTGCTAATTGATTGGGAGGTTGCCCTGAGCAGTGATGCATTGTTGTGTTCAAATGGATCCCCGCAATTAGAGCATTACACTCATTACACATCTTCAAATCTACAGGGTTTACATGACGCATGTCGGATACTCCAGGCTGCGGAGAGAAGTGCACATTGAAGTCTCTGGAAGTCACAAGGCAACCGAGCCTTGGAAGTCCTCTAGCTCTAGCTCTAGCTGCATCAGTGCAAATTGTATGATATACATGGCACCCATAGTATACATTGACATGAAAAGCTCTGCGGGATATTTCTTTGAATTGAATCAGGCCAGAGATTTGCTCAGTCTGTGTCATGGTATATCCGTGTATATATATATATTATATTATATAATATTATATATATGGTAAAAATCTCAACTATGCAAGAGTAGCTTCAATGGGGAAATTAAATCTTGATCAATGCACATATCCACATATCTTCTAAGACTCTATCAGGCATTCTTATATAAGGATTGTTAGCATTCAGTATCTCGTGGACTGTAAGTGGTCCGCAAAACTTTTTTCTGTAAAACTAAATCTAGTAAGGTTGGCAAAGTTCGGTATTGAAACTGACGCTAGACTGCAATTTCCTTCGGCTTGTTGGAAAAACCGAGGATAGTATTGTGAAATTGGCAGAGTGACTGCACAAAGGCGTCAAAGCCGTCATTTAAGCGCTTCGAAGCCTGCATTCGCAAAAGATGCCTCGCGCTTTACAAGGGGGAATAGTCGGCGATATGACAATATCCTTTAGATTTGTTTTGCAAAGTTTTTGCTTTTTGCAAAGTCTCGCATCTAGCTGCAAAGCAGCGCAAGGCACAACTTTATACAGAAAGATGCACGTGCCTGCATACAGATAATGAATAGATTTATGCAGAAAGCTGCAAGAGCTGCCTGCATCTGGGTATCGTGGCACTTGGCTTCCAGCTCAGAAAAAGTGACCTTGAGATGCAAGGGCATCATATGCAGTACAACATTGGGTGTTCACATCGAGAGTGAGCACAGATGCAGCTGGGCAATCATGCAATTTGGCATCAGGACTCAAAGGAAGGGCAGCCAGAAAGCAATGGAGAGGCTACAAACAAGGAAAGCTGCAAGATTGTTTGATCGCGATTTGGCTCCCCATTCTGCCTAGAGCCTGTCTGCAAGGAACCAAAGATCAAGGCGCACGTTGCTCTTTCACTCACACAGAAGGATTTCTTTGTGCACCTGCCTAGAGTCTCTAAAAGGCTAAAAGGTAGAGCGTGGGGGGTCAGACCTAGTCACCCTCTTCAAAAGCTGGGCTTCAGATCAAAAAGCTGAAAGTTCCCTTGGATGTGGTGTGGCACCAAGCAGCTCAACTTTGTAGATTTTGCAGTACCAAACAGAATTTGTCCAAACTTCATGCTCAGGGTTGTTATTTCAGATTGGATGCGATGAGTGCAATGGGTGGCGGGGTATGTTTTACACTGATGATGGTGTGGTCTCATCTTAATTTCGCTTGCCAGTTGCCGTTGCAAAAAGTGCAATGCAGTTAACTAGCGCCGGCCTCATGGCGGGACCGGAAAGGTAAAACCGAACTTGCGAACCCCGGCGAACCTGGGGGGAAAGCCTCCGGGAATCCAAGTTGACAGACATGGTCGCCACCACGTCGCGAAAACAGATTGCAAGCACTTGCAAGAAGACATCACATATGAAGAGGGTAGGCACGTTCAAGAGGAGCTCACATATGAAGTACCTGGAACCTGGAACATCTAGAAATAAGTGGGAAACAGCAAAAATAGAGCAAAAACATGGACAGATGATAGATGCAATCTTGAAACGGTTGAAACGGGTGTCGGATACCAAGAAGCAGTTAACTCGCCCCGTACCACGTTTAGCCGTAGAACTCATTTGAGCAGTTGTAGCCAACGTTTGTACCTGTAGACCAGTTTGGTTGCCGCGGGGAGGGAGGGGGTGTTGCAAGCAGGCGAAGCAAAAATCCACTCAAAGGAGACTTTGACCACAGTATGCAGTACAACGTACGCAGTCATTCATCACAACACATCACAGGAAACACTCTGGCAAAGGCCGGTTTTGATCGCGAAGTTTGTGCAACAAACAGGTGGAAGGACTTCTGCTCGAATATTGAGGTTTTGCCATGTTTTGCCTTAATGTTCTCGCAACTTTGAGGCAATTCTTATCCTCACTTGGAGCTCAGGCCGAAACCTTTGATGGTATTTACCCACGTTTCCTATCCGCAGAAGAGAAGTCCCAGGCCACTTCAACATGTTTTCATTGAAACATTTAAAACATTGACAGCTTTGCTTGCCTTCACATGGTTTTAGAGCAGCCGCATAGGCACGCAATCGCTTGCTTGAAATGCGTGAAGTGGACAAGGAAATCCAGAAAGTGTCCGCCTCTGCTTTTTGTTGTAGACTTTTGTAGTCTTGATACTGGATCTTTGATGCCAATGTTAATGCACCCAAGCCTGGCTCTCGTCCACCGAAATCGATGTCCGTTGCCAAGACCAACGCTGTGAAGAATCAGTTGGAAAGCCGGGCTCTCAACCAGACCCCAAACTGTGACTATCAGTGACTATCACAACAGGTTTGACAGTTTGACCAGGTTGCCTTGGGTTTGTGAGGCTACATCTACGAATCCAGGGACAAAATCACCGATGAGAACTCATTGGTCGTCAGTGCTGGACTGAGAGAAGATCTTTGGTCTTGACTACTTGATACTGACACACCTGATGGTCAGCAACATTAGTTGCTCGGTTCTTTTCTATTTCTCTCTTTCTCTCTCTCTCTATACTGTGCGGAGTTTCTCCTTGATTCATTTTGTTGCCAGTCATGCCAAACATGTTTTCACATCGTAAAGAAACAAACAAGAGTGCTTAAACAGAGTGCACAATGAACAGTTGATATCAATGAATGAACAATGCGAATCCTCAACAGCATCACTGAGATACAATCAGAAAAAGGCGGGCTAATGCAACTGCTCGCAGCTGCAATGCTACGCTCGAAAAGCCGAATAGTGTTGCGTTGCATGGTGGCATGAGCAGGTGCAATAAATGACTTTGATGATATTTGTATTCAGAGGAGTGCCTATGCTGGCAGTCCTTCTGCGTCAAGGGGCCTAAACAAATACTGATTTTATCGCAAGATGACACATCAACACGCCAACACACCGGCACCGACATAGCAACACAAACGCATACAGTATGTCACATACACAATGTTCATACACTGCTGAATACACACGCACGCAGTGTTGGTGAATTTGAAACAGAGTTTGACTGAAGCCAAATGAAGTCGAAAAGGGGTTTGAAGCCTTCACTGAGGAAAATCCATTTGAAAGTCACGCAAGGGTTGTAATCGAATGGTTACAGGCTCAATCCCCCTGGGTCCCTGAACTTTAGCTTCACATTATATCACTAGGCGCCCAAACCATCCTGCTGGATCCTGCTGGATCCTGCTGGATCCTGCTGGTACATATCCATGCTTGGCATACTTGGTACTTCAGCAATGTCTCCCTCCCCCACGTTTTCCGGCAAACCCTTCCCTGCACCTGGAATCTTCTTCACCCGACGAAAAACAATAAGGATGTGCACATACGATTCTTATAAACATTGTCCCCCGCTTCAACCTCGCCTGCTAGCTTTTGTTCACCTATCCCTGGCCTCAAGTTGCATGAAACATTAAACAAACAAGATTCGATAATCATGGCATGTTCTACGGATTCTATGGGGGATGTGACTTCTCACATGGATAAACGGCGTACGCAGAATCCGGATTACCGGCACGATTTCCTTTTCAGACTCAACAGCCTCCACTCAAAGGTGCAGTAAATACAGATTTTCTCATGCTTGCAATCTTGTTGGATTTCCTTGAACATGTGTATATATGCAAAGTGGCGGTTGCATGCAATGCTTGTGCAGCATCGATAAGTCTTCACCAATCTGTGGGGAGTCTTGCACCAACCTGGCTGCTGCCTTCATCTTACGTTTTTTCCACAAATGCCTTCTGTTTGGTTTATTTGAATGTCTCGCACCTGGCTCATGCTGCGACTATGCCTGTGCAAAAATCAGAAAGCAATAAAGTGATAAACTCTTGCGACTTCTGTTAGTTGGAAGTTGGAAGGCATCACGGCTTAAAGGATGGCTCTGAAGGCTGCGTTTGTATGGGCTTGGAGAATGAGTAATTTTAATAGACAACAGCGAGAAGTACTGTGAAGGTTCGTCGATCCTCTTGCAGTCTTGGAGCTTCCAGCTTCCATCAAACAAACTGGCTCCCGGAAAACCCTGCTGAAGGCAAATGAAAGATATGAAAGTGTGCCATGCTTTGCTTGTCTTACTTCTGCAAGTCCATCTTGACTGCACTCTAGACCAGCAAGTGTTGCTGCACCCAATGGTTATTTCAGTAGGCAGTCACAGCCACGGCCACGCGCAAAAAAAAGCTGGACGCCGGGCCGTGACTCGTGACTCATTCTGTTGGTACTGAGCAATCTGGAGCAACGTGACTCTCCGAGGTACTGAGGAGCAGCGTAGTGCTGTGATGGAACAACTGCAGGCCATGGAGGCCAGTTTTTGAGAGCAGGGACATGTCAGCTTCGACCATTGATACCCTTGAATCCCTTGAATCCCTTGAATCCCTTGAATCCCTTGAAGTGGAGTATCTTCGGAGCAGGATTGGATGTGGGAGGAGGAGGCACAGATGGCAAACGCAACCGTCCTGCAGCAAAAGCTGTCCCTTCTGCAGGACCCATTTGGGAGACACAGAGCAGAGACTGACAACTGACAGCTGAACACAGCTGAACACAGCTGAACACAGCTGAACACAGCTGAACCAAGTGGCAACTTGGGCCAAGGGGCTGCACACAGCAGCGCTTTTTCAGGACCATGTCCGGCCAATCCTGCAGAGAGCTCACGAGATGGAACAGCCTGGAGCTACAGTGACAGCTTGGATTGAGGGTGAAATGAGCAGCCATGGCAGCCATGGCTTCTGTTTGGAGCACACGGGCTTTTGCTTTGCCTCCCTGCCCCTGCTTGGTTTACAGTAGTCTTGTTGTCTTTATAAACTGAAATCGTCTTCAACCACTCACTCTTTGTTCATTTTCATCGTAGCTGAGGCGTGCCCTGCTTCCAGAACTAGTTGACAAAGTGCCCCGATGTTCACAAGTAGTTTGGGACTCCCTACTTCCAACTCCATCAAGCAATGTTGCAGATCTGGAATGGCGTGAACGCAACGCTTGGATATGTCAGCCTGTCATGATTGTGCGAAACTGGATGGATCGGTAGATGTTTTGCATTGTTTTGCGAATGATGGCATATGGCATAATGTTCTGTGCGAAGCCAGGTGATGAAGAACATGACCTGGGTTGCAGAGAAGGACAGGAAATTCTTGTAGTTGCACTGCATGTAGCACAGTAAGCCATCCAGAATGCAGGAAGCCATTCTACTCTGCACAAACATAGCTCGCTGACAAGTCTTGTTTGAAGGAGACTTCTGGGGTTGCTGACCTGATGAAGAACTTCACTCTTTGGTGCGAACATTGGAATGTGCAAAAAACAAATCGAATTTACCGTGATGAGCAACTGTGACGATTCCACTGCTGATCACAATTTTCTTGGAACCGTAGGTATGAAAATGTCACCAATGAACAGGTAAAACGAGTCAGGAACTCAGGAACATCATTGATTCACAATATACATTTATATACATTGCATCATTGATTAGATTATCATTGCATCTACATTTGGGCGGGTTTGTCAGAGGCACATGCAAGTGCTTTGCTGCACCAACCATGCTTTTTGAATTTGTTTCTTTCTACTTGTTCTTCTTATTGATGGGCTCGGCACACCAGCTATGCTGTTGATTGTGCTTGTTGTTCCTTGTGGTTGTGGTTGTGGTTGTGGTTGTTGTTGTTGTTGTTGTTGCTGCCGTTGTTGCTGGTGTTGTTGTTGTTGTTGTTGTTGTTGTTGTTATTGTTGTTGTTGTTGTTGTTGTTGTTGTTGGTGTTGTTGTGGTTGTTGTCGTCGTCGTCGTCGTCGTCCTTGTCGTGTCATCGTCGTCGTTTGTTGCATTTGTTGTATTTTGTCTTATGTTGTCGTACATTGTTGTATGTTGTTGCATGTTGCTGTATTTTGTCTTTTGTTGTTGTATGTATTGTATGTTGTTGTATACTGTATATGTTGTTTTATGTTGTTGTGTGTTGTTGTATGTTGCTGTATGTTGCTGTATGTTGTTGTATGTTGTTGTATGTCATATGTTTGTTGTTGTACGTTGTTGAACGTTGTTAAATGTCGTCGTCCTTGTTGTTGTTGTTGCTGCTGCTGCTGTTGTTGTTGTTGTAATTATTGTTGTTGTTACAACAACCACATGTTGTTACAACAATCCAACACCCCAGGTTCCGGAGTCGGCGGATTTCCAAACGGATATATTCTGCTTGCAAGTGCGACCAAAAAAATGGATGAATGTTTCAAATTACAGGCACCTTACCAAGTGGCCGAGAAGAAAACAAATCAAGACTTCCAGACAGATTGATGAAACTTAAATGAAGACAGCAAAACCTAGCAAGATTGACAGTTTCCTTTGCCAGGATTTGACGCAGGATCCAGCTTTCTACGCGATTGACGCCATGCGGCGGCTGGAGCACATGAGGTGGAAGTAATGGTTGTAGGATGTAGGCGTTGTCGTAGGGATAAACAATGATAAACAATGATAAACATTATGTTGCAATTTTTGCAGCTGAGTGATGTGGCACAGGTCGGAAGCACTGCGACTCACAAAGATCAAGAAGATTCGGCCTGAGCTCCACACAAGGAACCAGAAGGAGCCAGAAGGAATTTCATGACGTCAGCCATCGTCAGCCCTTGTCAGCCCTTGATGGCATTCTATTCTTGAAATCTTCTTGAAATCTGGTGGGGCGCCATGTTCGTTCTTTTGTTTGCGCAAGACTGTCGTGATTTCTACATATTTCTGCTCTCGAAGCCAAGGGTGGACCCTGTGCCGTACAGTGATGCTGGTCGCGACTATTGGAAGGATCCCAAAATGAGAGAGTAGTTGGGCTCAGTCTACTTGCTTCAAGTACAGCCAGAGTTTCCTTAGGCCATCCGCAAAGTGCTTCTATCAAGATGTTCTCACTTTGCAAAGAAGCAAAGCGCTTCTGGATGCACAAGGTTCTACGAGCAGTACTACAAGAATTTCAGTCTATTGCCCAACATTTCCTGCGACTGAGAGGAAACCAACGTATTCGGTTGCGGTTGTTGTTCTATTGGCATCTCTTAACTGTGCTTCCGTCACCGCTTCTTCTTCAGTCTTCAGCGTTGCCAGCTGAGGCCGCAATGGAACAAACTACTCTGAATTCTTCAGGACAAGCTCTATATTGATTCTGAGTTTCTCCGAGATTGATAGAGGTTTGCTTCAACTTTGAGTCTTGGAGTCGCTGAATGACAGAGGAACTTCAACTTCTCCGACTTCAACTTTAGCGGAAATGGCAGTGGAGACTCCGATGACTACATGCGGAACCGGCCTCAAGTATTTGGGGTGTAGAGGCAGCGTCTTATTACAGTATTTTGCAGTGGTCTTTTGTGTGAAGGGTTGTTTTTTGATGTTTTTGGTATATAGTTGAGAAACGCAACATGCCGAAAGATCATGCACAACGGTGTTGTTGTAGGTCTGGATATCTTGCACTGTATATGTGCTACATACATATACATGCACATACATGCACATGTATCTATCGCATTGTAAATACCAGTACATGTTGCTTTTGTCAAGGTTCCAAAGACATTGTAAATTGCGATGGAGCATTTTTTGAAGAGACGTTTGTTTTTTTCCCCGAAGTTTCTGCAACAGAACACAAAAAACACTGTGGACCGAATACATACTGATTTTGTTTTTTTGTGCGTCAGAGTTGTGGCAGATGCGGGGCTATGCTGTTGCTCTTCAACACAAAACTTGCTTGTGTTTGTGAATTTGATCGTGTTGGTTTATCTCTTCTCCCATGCCACTTCCATGACTTTTCATGAGAGCTTTGGGGTTATCTAACTGCTTATCTAAACCAGCACATTTCCTGCGGTGTGCGCGGTCTCGTCAAAGGCTTTAGTTATCTCCTTGATTGATGTGGCAGTAGTTCAAATCTTGCATCCTCTTCCCAGTTCAGGAAGGGAAACACATTGCACCATGCCTGCAGAGGTCTTTCCGAGACTTTTACAAATCCAATACTTCAGAGAAAAAGCAGGCATGGTCAAACTCTCCACACTGTTCACTCCAGTGCTTGCCATGGTTCTTGACAGCTCTGGAAGCTTGGGAAACAGCCTTTCAGGATGAGAATTCCACAGAGAATGCTGGTCTACCTGGCACAAGCTTGATGGTGTGGGGAGGCAATTCAAAGTCAAGGGCCAAGGTCATGTTCATTAGAAATTATAAAGGAATGGAGGGACAAGAGGGAGACTAGAGTTAAGTAGGTGATACTTCCAGGTACCTGATCCTGTTACCCCCCCTTTCATCCAATCACAACAACATCAACATCAACATCAACATCAACATCACCATCATCACCATCATCACCAGCATCACCAGCATCACCAGCATCACCAGCATCACCAGCATCACCAGCATCATCACCAGCATCACCAGCATCACCATCATCACCAGCATCACCAGCATCACCAGCATCACCAGCATCACCAGCATCACCAGCATCACCAGCATCACCAGCATCACCATCACCAGCATCACCAGCATCACCATCATCACCAGCATCACCAGCATCACCAGCATCACCAGCATCACCAGCATCACCAGCATCACCAGCATCACCAGCATCACCAGCATCACCAGCATCACCAGCATCACCAGCATCACCAGCATCACCAGCATCACCAGCATCAGCCAGCATCACCAGCATCACCAGCATCACCAGCATCACCAGCATCACCAGCATCACCAGCATCACCAGCACACCAGCATCACCATCATCACAGCATCACCAGCATCACCAGCATCACCAGCACCAGCATCACCACCAGCATCACCATCATCACCAGCATCACCAGCATCACCATCATCACCAGCATCACCAGCATCACCAGCATCACCAGCATCACCAGCATCACCATCATCACCAGCATCACCAGCATCACCAGCATCACCAGCACCAGCATCACCAGCATCACCATCATCACCAGCATCACCAGCATCACCAGCATCACCAGCATCACCAGCATCACCAGCATCACCAGCATCACCAGCATCACCAGCATCACCAGCATCACCAGCATCACCAGCATCACCAGCATCACCAGCATCACCAGCATCACCAGCATCACCAGCATCACCATCATCATCATCAACAACAACAGCAACAGCAACAACAACAATAACAACAACAACTGCAACAACAGCAACAGCAACAGCAACAACAACAACAACAGCAACAACAACAACAACAACAACAACCTCCCGGACCGCGACCGCAACCGCGACCGCGACCGCAACCGCGACCGCAACCGCGACCGCAACCGTGACCGCAACCGCGACCGCAACCGCGACCATGACCACCAGAAAGAATGCGCGTTGCAAACACAAGAATGCCACAACAGCAGTCACGAATGAGCAAATCGCAGCTGGTATGGGGGAGGTGCAGTGGCGCCATTGGCCACAAGATATTGACAAGTGCCCTTAGAGAGACGCTAGTTAGATACTGTATCATCTGTGTCTGTATCCACAATCCGCGTTACTGATAGATGATTCTTGGATGATTGTCAGCCTGTTTGCACTTGTGTGAGCTACTCTAAGTCGTTATCGTCATCGTACATAAACCTGGAGGTACAGCAGTCATCCTCTCTTGACTGCCAAAATCAGGATTGACATGATTGACATTGCGGAAAACAAATCCAGAATAAAAATGAATAAAATGCAGAACGAGAAAATAGAATAAATATCTGCTGGGATGCTGTCGAAAGCTGTTTTGCATGGGAATTGCGATGGTAACAGGGTCGTGCGCCTACTTGCACTGCATGAATCTACATGGCCAGGCAGCAAGTCAGAAGACAACGACCCGAGCAATCCTGAGCTGTAGTTGTCCTCCGTAATGCCGTTTCTTTGTGCTGTGCTGTGATGTTTTTTGATGCAATCCCGCAGTTTTGATTGCCAACCCTCGGACTGGTGAAATGGCTTTCCCAACTAGCTGCGGATGCTGCGGGTTCTGCAGTTGGCAGAACTTCTCCCAGACTAAAATAGTCTTTGGGTAGCAGCTTCCTCACTGCAGGCATTATCTCTTTCAGATCAGTCGACTTAGGGCCTGCAAAGAGAACATTGATGTGCAGTGATGTGCATGACAAACATGCACGTGGAGTAAAAGACACTCTCAAAAGACCAGATTGTCAGCCCATGCGTTGGGACGACACAAAAGAGTCACTCCCTGACCTTCTTTTGATTGCAATATCCAGAACACTCTCCAACGCTAGTGTATGAAAATTCCATGCAAGTATCGTGCAAAAAGTCACAAGTCCTTGGTTTGGCTTTGTTTGGCCTGCTCTTGAAGTCTTGGAGTGGTTGCTGTTTGGACTCGGCTCAAAAGCCTGACGGTTGAGAAACATCTTGCGACCAGGCAGGTGTGTAGCAGTTAAGACCAATGGAAACGACAAGAAGTCAATGAACTTCGAAAAGCTGTTGACCACTGGACGTTTTTGTTCTGATGCAAGTTTACAAAGCTCAGGGGCTCATGCTGCCTGCATCTGCCTGCTTTTAGAGATTTTTGAGCAATGCGCAAGGCCAATTTGGGTACCGAAGATGGCGGAGGCGGAGCTGGTGACTTTGGAGGGGATTTGGCCGTGCTTTGTGGATAGATCGCCTATGGCAGGGCGAGAAGCTGACACTGAAGTCTTCCCAGGGTGAGATCTTTGAGGCATCGTGCTGCTCGTGCTGTCATACTTTGCTATGTGCTCGGTTTGGCAGATGGGTACCCATAAGGGAACAGGCATTGGCCAAGAAAGCAAAGGCTATGCCAGGCTATGGGTAGTGATTCCTGACTTTTGTTTTAAGTTCTGAGTAGTCTTTTAATGCCTTTTTCATTACATTTTCAAAACTCTCAACACTCCCTGGAATAATTTGCCTTACGTATGTCAAGCCTATCAGGAACAAAAAGTTATTGTGAGGTCTGTGACGGGGGTGCCGGGAAGGACGAGTGTATGTTTTGCCTTCGAGAACGTGCTTTGATTGTTTGTGCAAGCCGCCAGTAAATTTCCAGGTTTCTGAAACAGGTATGCAACAAGTCATTTGTGCTCCACATTCTTCAATTGGATCGTCGAGTCAAAAGTCTGAGTCCATGCGCTCTTCTTGCCAAGAAACCAACAGAAAGGATAATAAATAAACGGGAGCCCAGGGGAAATACACACACAGACACCAAACACTCTGCAAAAGCACCGTTGTTTGAGCAAAAAAGAGTCCGGCAAGAATAGATCTAGGATTTTGTTGAAGATTCAGGCAGAATCAGAGATGAGTCGAAATAGAATCCACTTTCATTGAAGGGATGCACGGCAAAGGCGGCAGAGACACGGTCACCCACGAGAGGAGAAGAGTTCTTCGGTTTGTTTCAACTTCAAGATCAGTCGGATCGATACGTGACAACAGAGCGTTCACCCACAAAACGTGCCACTCTGGTTTTGCTTTAGTGATTTTCCGACTTAATTGTATTCTTTCCTTGCTTCGACACTTTCTTTTCCAAAATTAATGTATCTCATCTCTATTCGTCCTCTACTGGCTACTACTTTGCCGCCTCCTTCATTGCGAACTTGACTACAACAAGTGTGTCCCGTTATGTGACAGCATTTCTTGGCCCGTTCAAATTGGTGTGCCGTCATTTATATACAGCCCTGTGAAAATTGTTTCGCTTCCTACAGTTGTGAAAATACTTTTTCTTTTGCTGTACTTGACTTCTGGAGCGTTGCGTGAGAAACAATCCAGTAAATGATCAGTATCACAGCAAAGCCATTTCATGGATCAGATGCGAAGTGTTTCTCTGGCAAGCAACTCTATTTAGGATAAGAATTGGATAAGACATGTCAGTCCGCGTTTCTTCACTGTGAGGACTGTTAGGAAGGATCCCCTGGTTTTGGTTTGGGCTAAGCAATGCCATTCTACTCTATCCAGCTTGCAAGAAAGTATGCAGAAAACAGCAGAAAGACTGTAAGAACACTGCTTAATATCTTGATACGAAGTAGAGACATGTGAGAGCGGATTCGTTGAAGGGTACCTGTGTACTAATCGATGCTCTAGCAGCATGACCTATATTGAACTGGCCAAGATCTATTCCAGAGCAAAATACAACATTTCACGACATGAGCAACATGAGCAACTTTTTGCCATCATAGACTAGCAATAGCAGGATAGTTCCAAAGAGAACACCTGAATATTGCATGAACACAACAATTCATTCACAGTTGGAAAATTGTTGGAAAAAACTAGCTGTACAGAAGAAAAAGAAGAAGAACAAGAAGAAAAAGACGAAGAAGACGAAGACAAAAAACGTGCAAAACGGCAGAGAGTATATTCACCCCGCTCCGCGTGGGGTGGCCGCCCACACCGCAGGTTTATTTCGGTCCGTGAGAGGGGCTAAGGGTGGTTTCCCCCCGTGGGGGCTCCCCAAGCTAAGAATTTTCACTTTCCCCCCCTGTGGGGGCTCCCCAAGCTAGGGAATTTTCACTTTTCCCCCCCGTGGGGGCTCCCCAAGCTAGGGAATTTTCACTTTTCCCCCCCGTGGGGGCTTCCCAAGCTAGGGAATTTTCACTGTTCCCCGCCGTGACAGCTTCCCAAGCTATGGAATTTTCACTTTTCCCTCCCTTGGAGGCTCTCCAAGCTGCGGAATTTCAAATAGCTAGACAACGACGCCTAGATAGTCCCCCAAATCCCGTGTTCTTTGAATGTGTTTTCCATGTTTTTGCAATGGTTTCCTTCAAAGCACGGTACTTTACACTTTTGTCGCCATAAAACCGGTCGAAAACATCATGTTCGACAATGCTTCCAATTCCCTTATCTCCCCAACCGTTGAAAATACCGCTATTTACAGTGTTTTCTTCAATTTTTCCATGTTCCAATGCCGGTAGCCAACTCCAACATATATATAAGAAATCCTTCCAAAACATTGTTTTTGACAGTGTTTTTCCAATGTTTCCAGTCAAACAGACGGTAATTTACACGTTTTTTGCCATAAAGGCAGTAAATCCTTCCAAAACATTGCTTTTGACAGTGTTTTTGTAATGTTTCCAGTCAAGCATACGGTAATTTACACGTTTTTTGCTATAACGTCAGTCCAAAACACTTGTTTTTGCAGTGTTTTCAATGCTCTGGCATCCAAAAACCCTGCAAAATCTTGCTATGTACAATGTTTTTTTCATTTTTGGCCGTTTTTCCATTGCCGGAAAGCTACCAAAATGACCCAAAATTCCATTTCAATACCCTCTTGGGCTCAGACACCCAAAAATCCTCGAAAAATGTCGAAAACACCACCGAATTCTGGTCTCGGTGCGAAACCGTTTTTGGGGTCTGGTCTCGGTGCGAAACCGTTTTTGGCCCCCCCCCCAGCTAAAGCTGATATAGCGACTGCTATATTAACAAATGTCATTGAGCATTTAGTGTTGCTGTTGCCCCCCAATAAGCACGCCTTCACCGCCAAAGCGGTGTGGGCGGATTTAGACTATGGAAAACTCACGTGCAAACCTTAGAATCAATACCGCTTATATAAAGAGCACAAAAAAAACAGTCAAACACTAGTATGTGAACAAATCAAAAGCAGACGCTCTACAACTAGACAGCAGAGCACATAACAAAGGAATTATGAAATATGATGAACAACGTTCGAGAGTTGCAATGAGCATAGAATGCTCAGTCACATTTTTTTCTTCAAGTGCTTGTCTCAAAGACTTTTTTTTCCAGCTTATCTTTTCACTTGCTTGCTTCATCATTTTGAGAACACAAATCTGGAATGCTTTAGTTTTGAAACCTGTGTGTCTATTTGAAGCATTTGAAACTCACATATAGTGGTGTACGGCGTATCAAAATCTGCCGCAGGTGGAGCCGGAAGTGGCCTGCATGTCTACCCTCATCAAGCCTGGTTCTGAGCAGAAGTGGCACCAAGACAATAATCGAGAGGTCAGTTACGGAGTTACGGCGACTTAAGGCAAGTTAAGGCAACTTAAGGTAGATTAGTGTGAATCGGAGGTGAATTATAGTGCCTGGGGCAGTACTGTAGCAATGGCTCTTCTGCCCCTTCAACAAGTCAGACCCTTGCAGCAAATGCCACCCACAGCATGTTCCCGCTTGAAACCTGCAGTTTCATCGATGCTTGCTGATAGGTAATGTATACACTGACTGGTCATAAGGAACATGGTGGAAGACAGTGGCACAGATGAAGAGATTCCCTTGCCAAACGTGAAGACCGCCATCTTAAGCAAGGTCTGGGGCCATGGGCCTGTTTGCAAGAATCCTAAGCCTTAGCTGCAATCCTGGATTTGAGCATTTCTGCTCGCAATGCCAGGTCATTGACTATTGCAGGAGAGATTCCCAGAAGCACTATAGCAAAGCAAAGTTCCAGTCCTGCGTGTGCTTTTGTTCCAACATTTTGCATCCTTTCCTCAGGTACCACAAGGACAATCCGCCTGAAGAGATTCAGAAGCCCCTGAAGAGTGAGCCCCGGCACAGATGCAGGTCTGCCCTTGTTACATCGGAACAACGCTGGCAGGTACGAACTTGGTTGAATGTGGCGTCTCTGAGTGGGACAATGAGTGCCCCACAGCCGTTTTAGCACTTCAACATTTGAAGCAACTCAAGTCAAGTCTCAAGTTGTGTGGAATTCGCACCCTCCAGGTATGTCAACATTGAACAGGAGGCCCCGGCAAATGGTAACAGTATACTGTAATTTGATATAATTTGAGTGCAAGAAGCTGTGCCATGCTTTGCTTGTTTTCAATCCGAGTTACTATCGAGCTCAGGTCCTTTTCGAGCTGATTTTGGCTGCCAATTATCTTGACATCAAGAGCCTTCTGGACTTGACTTGCGCGAAGGTCTGTAACATGGCACAGTGTGTGAACGCGTGTTATAAAGCCATAAGGGCGGCCATAACATGTTGTGAAACGGAGCGCATCAAAGTCTAAAAGGGTTCTTTCAGGTTGCCTCCATGATCAAAGGCAAGAACACGGAAGAGATTCGCAAGCAGTGTTCAGCTCAGATGTGAATCTGATATCCATTTGGCATCCATTGAAGAGTCCAAATATGTCGGATTGTTGTTGGTAGTATTCAAGGATTCAAGGATAAAAAGTGCTGGTATGCCTCTTGATGAATGGAATTGTGACGAAACGTGCGAACTTTCTCTTGCTTCCAGCTGGTCCAGCGTCAGGTTTAATATTGTGAATGATTTTACACCAGAGGAGGAAGCGCAAGTGCGTGAGGACAGGCTTTTGAGACGATGGGACGATGTGCTACGGCTCCGCTTAAGTGGCACCATGTGGCACCTCATGTGTTTCTCATGTGTTTCTCATGTGACAAGTGGCACTGCGGCACCTCGGAGGAGAACCGTTGGTGTGAAGACGCTTGATTTGCGAGTGAGTCTTGTGACTTACCGACATTCACCGACTATCGCATGATTCACTCACTCAAAATCCCGGTGTAGTTTCCCCCGTGCAGTCTTTATGTGATTGTTTCATAGTTTTCCTACACATTTGTACTATTTATTTTGTGATCTATTTGATTTGTGTTAAAGCCATCACATTTCTTATGATGTTCCCAAGAACGGCAACACGGTAGCAGTGCTTTCACTGCGGTGCGGTCGTTTCACGGCAGACATGCCTCGGAATACCAAAACACAAAACGCGTTGCACTTGTGACTATTGTGACTTGCATTTTCCTGCATTTCAAGCCTCACTACGTTGTGAAGTCGTGCCTCTACAGTGCATTCTGCGAAATTGTGCTGTTACTTAGTTCTGGCACCACTTGGTATTTTTGGACAGAATACAGATATATTATCTCGATTTCCCACTTGCTGCATTTCTCCAGCTCAGATATAGGATCATTAAAAGCATGCTATTTACAATGAGTTGAGTCAGCTTTGTGAACCAACGAAGATGCTGAACTTGCAGCAATTGCAGCAGACTGCAGACATCTCGGATTCGCATTGGTGCCCCAGAGACTCCTTGAACCTTTGGCAAGACAATTTCTACCTTCAAAACTTGACGCAGCGTATGGCCCTTCGTGAGTTGGGTGAGGTTCTCATGGCACTTTCAAGACTTAAACAAATGTTAAAGGAATGTTGAAAAGAAGGTTCGAGGATTTTGAAGGTTGGAGAGGTGCTGTTTTTGCTTCTGAAACAGTGCGAGACTGTCACAAAGTCCTTCAGTGTCTGCTTTCGGTCGCAGGTGCAAGGGGAAGATGCAGTCGGCTATGCAGTTGTGCCACCCTCGGTTTTGGGGTACCATCAAGAAAGGTGTGTTCCATCTGAGCATAGCAGGCATTCATGATCAAATTTTAGTATCACAGTCTAGAAGACCGATGATACCGATGCAGCATAAGACAAAGATTCAGCTGCTTTAGATTTCGAATTTGTCACAGAGAACTTGTTTCAGCATCGAGATCCTGACAACAGTTTTTGGCGCATTCTTTCTACGTTTCAATGTTGGGGAGTAAGAAGGCAGTGCATTCAGATGTTTGCAATATGCATTTTTGATATTTTTGCAATCCAAGCAAAACACAACTCAAGATGTTTGCTTGGCAAGACATTGTTGGGGTGTTGGGTTCGACTGCTACGACTGTTATGAGTGCCGTCAGGGCGTTCACTAGATTTGTTGGACGGTTCCTGTTGAAACATTTAGACTTTACACCATATCCTATACTATGCTTACTCGCAGTCCTTCCTGTCAAGAAAGAAATGTATCAATGACCTCGAGATGCCAGCAAAAACTACCCTTGGACTCGTTGCAGTTGCATTTCTAGTGAGATTGCAGGCTGCGTTAACATACGTGACTTCGTTTCAAAGAGTTACTTTCATGTCGTTTTCTAACCCCCCCCACCCAGCTTCTATAAACGTCGTTGTCCGGCGCAAAAACGCAGATCAGGCAAGTTGGTGATGAAAACAAGAACACTTTACGTCAATTCTGAAGAATTGACTTTTGGACAGAGACATTTTGGACATTGGACATCATGAAGTATCATGAAGTATGAGGCAACACGCACTTCAAAAGAAACGCTTAACGACTCGCTTCGCTTCATTTGACATTTGATAAATTTTGAAACCAAGTTCCTCACAGCATCTCACCGCCCCAAGTGCCAAGGACAATCACCATTCCGGACGGTGCAGCACCTGGCTCGATCCTCTCCATCCCCGTGAAAGGTCGTCCAGAAAATGTGAAGGCCAGGGTTGCATTGGTCGCATTGTTCGCATTGTTCAAAAGGCTTAATTTGTTTGAGTTGTTTCATTTGACTTGTTTGTTTCTTTGTTTCATTGATTTTTGGATGTCATTGGATCATATTGGATCCCTTTTCAAAACAGATGCATGTAGACCCATGTAGACTTCGCAGGCAACCGTTCCCGAGGGATATGGACCAGGCGATGAATTGGCCTTGGCCTTGGAGATGCTGTGGAGAGGTCTTGAAATGTAAGGGCTGCCGTGCCCATTTTCTTTTGGGGATTCAAATGATTCAAGACAGGGCATTGCTTACGCCAGCGCTCTACTTTCCTCCAGGTTCTGATGCAACTGGCAGGTACTGACAGATGGGCCTAGTGCTGAGACGCTTGATTGGACAATTCCTTGATCTCGGTGAGATCCCCAAATAGATGCAGAGGTGGTAGGTCTGAGATGAGCACTTCTTTTTTTCCAAGGTGGAGGAGAGTGTGCTTAAGCAGGCTGAGCAGGCAGAAAATAGCGACTTTACACAGCAGATGGTAAAAGGCCCATGGTCACCAAAATGGAAAAACACATTTAATGGTAACAGTTCGGGGTAACAGTGCTTAATGCTTTTCAATGATTTTCAATGATTTTGTGCTCTTTGTCATCTTGCCAAGCGCTTGTTTCAGGATGCTGCAAATGCAGTGTTTGGAGAAGCCAACGGCCTAGAAGACCGAAGGGAATTGTGCTCTCCACTAGCTCACGCGTTTTTCTCGTGCAAATTCCAACAACTACTATCCTGACTTTGGTATTTCTTTTCTGAACCTACGATAGACGCAAATGTGTCACTAGCCCTGACAAGATGTGCTTTTCCTTGAAGTTGCCAAAGCACCCTGCTCTCCTGAAGAGTCTCTTTCGCTCTGCACAATGAGTGTTTTCTTTCTTTCTGGGGCAAACCTGCAGCTTTTGCTGGAGCAAAAATGGAGCAAGAGCGCTTGCCAAGGTAGCGAAAAGAACGTGTAAATATGGAAGGTAAATGGGATTTTGCTTGGAAGAAACCCACAGGGATATGTCTGATGAATCCCGGTGTGCATGAGCCTTGCAAAGATAAAATTGGAACCTCAATGCCGCAGACACACTCTTGCAAGCACTATAAAGCACCGAGTTGAGAAGTATGAGAAGTATGAGAAGTATGGTTATCTTCTGCAAAACTTGGTATCTGAAGGAAGCTTATGAGAAAAATCCATGCATTATATATCTTGAAATACTGTATCCGCAACGAGGGAAGCGAACACATGGAAAGGGCGACCCAGACTGTATGTGAAATCTAGAAGCCGCCAAGCTGCGACAGAACCTTAGAGACGTGCAGACAAAGTGAGACGAAAGCAAGGCTTTGAATTGCGCAGAGGAAACATAGTGGAAAGACATGGAAGTACACATGGAAGACCATGGAAGGATACGGTGAAAAAAGCAGATGTGTCATTTTCTAAGATACTGGGCACGCAGGGACCGAGCCAAGCCAAGCCTGCAGCAACGCCATCCCAGACAGGGAGAGAAGAAAAGCTGCAGCAAAGAGACATCCACACTCGCGGCACCAGTAGATTGGCCAGATCTCTTGCCTGATGTGTACATGCCAACTACGGGTCAACTGAGCACTCTCTTTTCATGGAATATGAGCCTTGAACCCTCTTTGGCCAGGTGAAGCTGGAATGCGAACTGCAAATGCGAACTATTAGTTAAACATAGTTAAACCATACAAATGCCAGCAGAATTACAATAGTCCCTTTTACTGTTACCAATTATCTATGAATGCACAGTTCTAATTCCCCCGGCGTTTTGCCTACTCACAAGTTACTATTTTTTTCTTTTAGTATATACTACTACCTATTTCCAGGTACAGTTCCAGGCACTTTTTTATTTTGCAGTTTTTTTTTGAAATACTAATTACATATTTTATGTTTTCCAGAGGTTGGCCAAAATCTCCCTTCATAATTCTAGAAAAATGGAGCGTGTCAATGTGACAATGTGGCATCAACGGACGGATCAGACGGCCAAGTTCTTACTTCGTTGCATGCAGGGTTAGTTGGAACATGCGTTGGCAACAGCCCACTGAGTGCGGAAAACCGGTTCGACCAAACAAGACACATATTTATAGAGCTTCACAAAGGGGACATGACATATCTACTTAACATGCTTTAGGAACAAGCTAGGCAAAGACAGAACACGATGAACCAAGAAGCCAAAAGTCTCTGATCTGCTGACAATATGGAAACAAACAGAAGAAATCAGAAGAACAAGAGCAGTCTATTGATGTGAAATGGCACAAACTTATACCCACTCCAGACCAATTGACTCTGGTCCAATCAACGAAGTCCAATGATGGTTCCAAGGCTGTGCCGATGGAAAACTTGGTTAGGGCCCCTGGTTTCGGGACGGGTTGTGCTAGCGATGTTTAGCGTGTGTCCAACTGGTTCTCTGGAATTCTCGGGAGCTGTGGAGCACCTGTGGAGCACCCGAGGTTCCTCCGGGAGTTTCTCTTCCTGAGGCAAGGTCGGCAGGCTTTCGCGATGACTTGGATGACTTGTGAGAAAAGTAATAGAAAAGTTGCAGGATGCAGACCTTGGCCCGCTGATGCCAAGTGGTCCCGTAGCACATACGGCACCAGCCCGAGAGACAGAGAAACATGGGCTGAAGCTTGTCCCGAGGAGAGAGAGGGAGAGAGAGGCAGGGAGAGATCAGGTATGGATAGGTATGGCACATTGGTCAAACATTCAGCTTCTAGATCTTCTAGGTTCGCCTGGAAACGACCATTGGCACCATCGACATCATCGTGCGACCAGATTGGGCATTGAGCTCTGCTTGAAACAAAACAGTGCAAAACAACCACACACCACACATGTTCAATATTTGTTAAATATTTGCTCAATATTTGTTCAACCATGTTTAACTGTCATTTTGAGTGCAAGGAAGCATATCTGGAGCATTTGGTGCGCTGGTTTTGTCTCAAATGGAGCTAAGGCACCTTATGGAGCACGGCGCTTTCTTCAGTACTGAGCCCAGAGACGTGGTACATGGATGTACACTGGATGTACATTGGATATTCACGTCGCTTCGCGACGGCAACCGCCCGCACCGCATCGTTGGGCAGCCGCTCGTAACTGCCAATGATGTCGGCCATTGAGACCAAAAACATCCGAAAGTACTGATTGTCGGAAAAAAAAAACGCGAAGAATTTGATAGCCATGTATAGCGGACCAACGCAGTTCAAAAAATAACGAAAAACATGAAAAAACGGCGAAATTGCTGTTATT